ACCAATAGAAAGAAATATATAGCACTTAGCTGGGACCCTGCTTTAAACATCCTGTTTCTAATTTAGTTCCACTAAAACTCATACAAGGCATCATGATAATATCTAATCCTATTCCTTTCTGGATTGTACTTTCCGGCAGTTTAGTGATTTCTTAATAGTTGGTGGTCCTTTGCTACTCTGCCCTCTAGTATGCTTCCAGTTCTATGATTCCAATTCCAACCATGCACACGGAGGTACTGAGACAGAGGTCTTAAAAATACTTGACTTAGACACATTTAATTTGTATTTTGCTCAAAACACATTTTAAAGCAAAGGAAAGAAGTTTTATGTTCTTTGGTGCACAATGTAATGTGCATTATGAGTAACTTTGGGTTTATGAACATTTCCTGATCCACCATTAGTAACATACATGATAACTTCAGAGGAAAAATTCCTGCGAGACCTGATAAGGTGCAAAACCAGTTACAAAAAAAGGCTGACAATGACAATGAAATATTTCCATTTATATAGGAGGAATTTGACAAAACACAGCTGATGTGTTTTGATTTTGTTTCATTCTTATTTCTGAGATGGTGTCTGTTTTTATATTAGCAAAAGGCCGGTATGAAGTTTTCCCACACCAGAACCACTGCACAACTTTTAAGAAACCAGGCAGCAAAAAAAAAAAAACATTTCAGTTTTATAACACTGTTACTTAAAACTAAAACAGCGAAGTGAAAAGGCCAATTGATAGTGTCTGGGTGTGCTTTTATCCCAGCCTGAGTCTTTTATGCTTGAATGCACCTTATGATGCTGTTACTAACCTCAACCTGGAGCAGCAGCAGGGCAGCAGCCCTCCCAATACAGCAATGTCATGCTTTACAGGCACACTCACAGCAAGAGCATGAATGAAGCAAAAAAATTGGTTGCCTAGGAAACACTTCAGTCCTGGTAATTATTACTGTAACTATCTCTGCACACCCCACCTATAATAGAAATGGATCATAAATTATAATCACTGACTGGCAGCCTTCTGTTGGCGATATTGCTCACTGCTGCCATCTACTGGGTAATTCCAGATTTTTATTCTTATTTTTCAACCAGGATTTATTTATTCAACTTCACCAAGTGGTTTTCAGACAACAGTTACAGGGTTTTGTTTATTATTTGGTATATGAAAAAACAATTAAAAATGTATTTATTGTTCAGAAAGACTGCAACAAGGACAAGTGAGAGTTGAAAAAAGAAAGAAACAAAAGCCTACTGCAAAAGAGATTCTTATCTGTTCATATATGACTAATAGTCATACTTATTTTTAAAAAACCAGGTTCATTACAATTTTCTAAAATGAATGCATTTCCTTTTTAAAACAAGAAAAGTAGGGTCAAATATTAATTGTTAATAAAACAACCTCTTACTTTTTTTAATTCAAAGAAACACAAAAAAATGAAATAATCATTTAGTCTCTAAAATAACAGGCAAAGGAAATGAGATAATTACCAAAGCATGCTTCATCTTCATTGCACTAGAAATGTATACAATAAACTTTTGCATTTGCCCCTGTGACAGACAGAAAGTACTGTTCAGTAACAAGAAGATATTTATACATTTCACTTTACAAATGATTTACTGAATTGGATTTGGACAGCACAGCAGGGATTGGCAAAAAAACACATATCATGAGGTTACTGCGGGTTTAAATGTGGCTCATTGTAACAGCAAAATTGCCTTAAATCAACTAAATACAGCTGATTTTAATTCTGCTTTCTTTTCTAAACTGGAAAGCATTTGTGATCTGAGACGAGCCTATAGCAGAGGTCTTAACCACTGTGCCAGTTTCCCAATTACTGGCAAACTGCTGTGCCTTAAACCAGTTATCACATGTACACATTTCCTTTTTTTCTTTTACAAGGGCCGCCAGTTTTGGCTTAAGGATATCTGTTCACATTTACCACTGTTGTCCTAAGCAACGCTCCTAAGTTCTGCTGTAAAGCTAAACATTTTTTTCACAAATTCTATAGACTCATCAGCATTACTTCTTGCACTGCAGGTTTGCCAAATCAGTGACTAAATGTTCACACCAGATGTCATTTCCATGATGTACAAAACACAGCAAAGTAGTCTGTGCACTGTGGTTCAGAATCATTCCATAATGACAGTATAACATCGAGAGAAGCAGCTACAACCATTTTTTAGTCAGACGCTCACTAGCTAAATAATTGTTTACCTCCAAAGTAAAGAATGTATGTCTCCAAGATAATCTCTTGCAAAACCAGTGATCCACTTCAAACAGGAATGCAGATATACTGATACACAATGAAAATGGAACAGCCCAAGTTTTGCATCAATAGTTCATTGAGCACATACATTATGTTAATTACATTTTAAATAGTGAGAAGATAGGCTTCTTGATTGTTTGGATGATTTTACTCCTCGGGATAACAAAATACTGAGCTCAAGATGTATGATTTAAAAAAAATACCAGGTGCTGAGTGTTTGAATTAAAATGACCAAAATTAATTAAGAAACTGTATAGCCATTCAGAAATGTGTCTTTTAATATGAAACAACATAGAAAGATATAACCAAGCATGAGTAACAAAGATTGCCTGGTTGCTATTGACATGACTGAAAGAGGCCTGTCATTCAGAAGCCCTGGCTGGACAATAAGATGTTCTGCTTAAACAATCAGTAGGCTAGTCCACAGAACCCAGGAAGAGAGATCTGTGAAAGACAAGCTACATACTGCAAGAATCTCCACTCTGATCCAGGACTATTAGATCCTTCTGATCCACGATCAAAATCTAGAAGCTACAGCACAAGAAATAACCATCTGCCAAAAACACCAGTAACCTGTGCATCAGCAGACTGGCTGTAACTTGCTGTCTTCAAGAAAATAATCTGCATGCTTACAGGTCATTCAGGGGTAACACTGATCATTTCCTCGGGGCTGCAGAACATCAGAAGTAGGTGTAAAGAGATGGTGGAGTGTTTTATTCTTCTGTGAAGGTCCATGATAAGTCTGATTGAAAACAACGTGTTGAGAAGTAATGATGAGCACTGTTGCATTGTTCAAGCCAACCAGTGGAATGGTGGAACTGTGTTGATGCTGGGAGGAATCTCCTTTAAGAACATGTTTGCCGCCTCATGTCGTCATCAAGGAACCTTAACTGCTCAAGATTACAAGGATGATGACCCTTGGGTTTTCCATTCCTGCAAGCAAATCTGGAAGACAATGCATGACCCCACACTGCAAGGATGGTCATGGCCAGCATTTTCTTCTCGCCCAAGTCCTACGGAAGAGCTTAGGTTCACCTAGCCTGTCATCAGCAGGAGACAACTAGCCAACCTACACAAGCTGGCAGTAGGTGCACAAGAAGACCAGCAGAACATCCAAAAGCTGTCTATCCAGAAGCTTGTCAGATCTATAAGCAAATGCTGGCAGTATTGTGAATGCTCAGGGAAGACATACCTAATACTTTGTTTCCATTTCGATAGTGTCATGTTTCATATTAAAAACATCATGATTCTGTATTTCAATTCATTTTCTATAATTTGGTTTGATATGTTTAAAATATTTGATTAAATCCATTAGAGCTGAGTGTTGTACATCAATATGCAAACAAATGCAAGCGTTAGATTTATATCTAGAACTACTTGAAAGAAGATGAACTCTTTTCAATATGTGATAAAGAAGTGCAGATACCATAATTTTTCAAAATCAGAAAGTTAGAGGATAATTATAATTTCTGAGATCATGAAAGTGTGATTCTTATGATCAAAGCATACCAACCAATGAATTAATGTTCATTAATGTTCAATCTAATGAGTTACTCTATTGTGATAAAACTGCTATTCCTAAAGACACAGAAGTGCACATTAGAATGAGTGATTTACATATTAACACACCAAAAAAATTAAGTTAATAATGTATTGTGTCCCAATAGCATCCAAAACACAAGCACACACCTCAGCTCAATTCCTTCCAAAGCATATTTCAAACTAGTATGTCAGACAGTGGAAATTATTTTAAAAAGTTAGCTCAATCATAGCCTGTTTAAGTATTCACACTAACAAAGGGCAGTGAAAACTGAGCTCTGTGGTATTAGGTACTGATGCCTCATACTTACTCCAGCCGTTATTGAAGGATTTTTTCTCCTCTCTCTCTCTTTGACCTTTAAGGAGGCTTAGGTTCACAAAAAAACCTTCCAAACAGTTCTCTCTAATGGCCTCCGCTCAAACAATCCAGCTTCTGTACTGGAAAAATGATTGATCTCCAAGAAACAGCAAAGTCAAAGACATACGGCTTGATGCGAATGATGAATCATAAGATTAGTTCCAAAGGAAATGGAGATCAGCACAGCAAACAAATTCCTTGTCAAAAAAAGACACTGAATGCACTGATGTAACACTTGTCACCTGGGTAGGTATTTAGTTTCAAACAATTTTCTAAATTAACTAGGCAAAACTTTTCCTACCTTTACATTTGTGACTCAATATAGTGCAGACACTTAGAAAGTTAATTTTTTCGCAACCTTATCAAATTTACTTTCTATCATACTGTTTTTCAGAAGATAAAATATAAATATGCATTTAATTGCCGACTTAAAAATAATTCAATTATTCAGGAGGCAAGGTGGGTGATACAGAATACAGGTTGATGGAAACATAATATATCAGGTTATACATTATGAATAGAAGCATCCTACAATACAGATATATGGATTCCAAAACATGTTTTGATAATCTTTCAAAAAAACTTTACAAAAAAGTGCTATCTCAACCTCTAAAGAACATTACAGCCAAGTATGGTTATGTAAAATTTTTATTTTTATGTAAAACTTTTTATTTTAACATATGTATCTTGTGAGCACTTATTGAGAATGGTACTAAACACTAAACATTCAACACTAAGACCATCTCTATTCAGCATACTGCCATTAAGCAAGCACTGTAAAGGAGAGATACCATTGCTGTTTAAATTCACTGAAGAAGCTGAAAGAGCAAACAAAGACCATCCAGCACACTACTGAGAAAGTTCATTTATTTCACTTATTCTTTGAGTTACAGTACTTGACTAACAATTTTCTCCTCTTCAGCTGAAATCAGCCATTGTAACTATAGCAGACATAGATCAAAGGAACAGGCAAAAATATATATATATATTTGTTAAGTGCACGCACAGGACTGTGCTGAAATGAAAACATACAAAACAAATCCTAGGATTGATTTTAGCCTTCTATTGGAGAAGAGAAGAAAATAGACTCAAGCCAAATATCCTTATGCAATTAACAGTTACATGTAAAACTATTCAGTCAATACATGGTGTACATGAGACTGAATTACCACATAAATCATGCTTACTGACTGAAGAGTGATAAACCAGCAACAAGCTCAACTACTGGTCTTAAAAGTCTGTATATAACAGGTACCACAACTCAGCAGAAAAATAATCCTCACTGAGTGAAGACAAGAAAAAAGCACTTGATTAAATCACATTAATAAGACTAAGGAACTGCCCAAATTACAACAATAACAACAAGACACTGGGGCTCTAGGCAGTTTTGTACCCTTAATGTACAAGGATTGCTCTGTGGTGTACCACAGCTCTGCCATTTGGCATTCTTAATAATGCCTTAATATAGGAGTTAGAATTACAAAAGTGCGAGGGTAAAACCCCTTCTACATTTCAGCTGGCTTTCACAAAAATAGCACATCCGTAGAAGCTGAAAGCAAACCTGTGAAAAAGACTAAAAAAAAAATATGATCAAGTGGGAAAAAAGAGAACAGAACAGTGCAGACAGATGACACCTGCTTGGTTTAAAAGTGTTGCATTAAAAAAATAAAGCTAAAAATGGCTTGAGCCAAGCTAAGTGCAGTTATTTCTGCTGCTGCATGCGGGCAGCCTTGAACTTAGAGACCCTCTTGGAGGGCTGCTGAGGAGCCTCAGGGGGAATCTCCTCACATTTCCTCTCAGGGATCGTGGGAAGGGCCGGAGGACTGATGGTCAGGTGAGGGATGACTGATGGCAATATGGGGTCCTTTTCAACCACTGTTCCTGAAAAGGCCTGAAAGGACACAAAAAAGCTTTATAAACTACAGATTATATTTGACATTAAAAATCTACTTTTTAAGCATTACCAATCAGAAACACAAAATGTTATAAAGGAGCCCAGTAACAGTTTCAATAAGACCAAGTTCTTTCTTGGAATACTTTCTGGATAATTTTGTTATATTGGGAGTTTTTAATAAAGGTACAAAAATATATATTACTCGGATGACATTGTGCTTGGTTAGTGTTGCAAACTATGCCAGACCTCCTTCTTCATTTATTCCATGTGCAGTTATCTACATTACTCTGGAACCCTTGTGTGTCTTATCACAGGGATCTAGTTACTTTTGATTCAGAAATACAAAGATAAAAAGAATCAACATTTAAACCACCAGGACAGGAAAGAAAGAAATGTTTGTATTGTTTTGTTAAGTAAAGGCTCCCAATCATCAGTCAAACTATGTGAGAAAAATTGGTTCTTACCAGAAAAGTTGGAACTGCACATATTTTAGGGCTATACAAAAGATTACAGCTATTTTTTTGTGGTTCAAAAATCCATTTGGCTTTGTATAAATTTACATCTGTATATTCCAATTCCAAAAATTCTATATGAATTACAATGTCCCAATTCTTATACTAATCAACACATAAATGCTGGCATGGCATGTGCGTTTCCTTTCCTTTTCTCTATTTTTGCTATCCACATGACAGGATTAAGAAATTAACCATTAGAGCATTCAAGTGCAAATAGTGGATGGCTCACTTCGTAGACTCCTAGCATGGGAAGAGGTTTGCTGGGTGAGTTTTCCTCTTCTAGGATGCTTTCACTGGTGTCACTGTGTGTGGCCTCATCGTGGCTCAAACTACGACTGAACCCCCTGCGGTCATCAAAATCTGCTGCGCTGCTTTCGCTGGTGTCACTGCACACGCTGTTCTCCCGGCTGCGAGACTTCAGGATGGACTTCCGAGGAATCAGCTCTCCATTCACAACATCAACAAACACTCTGAAACCAAAATATCTGAACCTCAGCAAATCGGAGAACTCAAGCAATTCTGCAAAAAGCACGCTTTGGTTATTCTTTCCTTTATTTAAAAGTTTAGAGACATTCTCATCGCATAGAAATGGACAAGCAAGCACAAAATTGTACAGTATGACAGATGACTGACTGACTGCGAAATAAATGAGTCTTGAAGTTTTAATTTCCTTAACATCATCCGTCATGGGAATAAAAAGGAATTGCAACTGATTTATGAAGAATTCCTATGATAAAAACAAAATGTGTGTGAAAAAAGTACAGCCAAAATTAGAAAAAAAGTCAAAATTTAAAACCAACCAACATTCTTTCTTAGGGGCATTAAAAGTTAGTGCTGGGCTGACAAGAAGATGACAATCATTTTATTTCTTGTAAGTTCAAAGCCATGTATGTTTTTTCTCTAATTAAAAAGAGCAATGACAAGGGGGTGGGTCCCCTTTAAGACCCAACACTAGGATGCAAGGAGATCCATGCTCCTTTCCAGCCGAGAGGCAGGGCTGCACAGATGCAAGCTCCCTCATGACCACTGCTTGCCAAAACCCTCTTCCGAGCAGGAGCCAGCTGGGAGGCTGGTGATGAGGCAAATGCATACATTTCCTTGGTTACTCTGTACTCCAAGCCAGGCATTGCTGACCCTATCACAATGCGCAGCCCTATGCCAAGTATAGTATATGAACATTATACTTAACAGGTAAAAACATCAGTATTTTTTCTATTTTTTGTTTTACATTAACACTTAGCTCTGAGAAATTAAGATTCTAAACCAGTAAACAGTACACAAAAAAGAAGAAAAGTCTTGATTAAACTTTCTTATAAATAAATAAGTTGCTGGTGAATGAAGATACAAGTATGAAAAGTTAATGTAAAAGCTAACACATACATAAAAATGTCTAGATTGAGACAAATGCATGCACTATGAATTTGCTTTTTTTCCTTCTGCAATCTCAATTTGGCTTGCTTTTCTGGCATGATTTCCTTAAAGAGTGGCAACAAAGTCATACAATAATGGTGCTTTGTACAAAGACAGAATCCCGATGAAGAAAGCCTGGTGAAATTATAAGATCTACAAAGTGAAGGTCAAACCCAGCACCTGTTCAGAGAGTAAGTACAAAGGAAAGGAATGCAACTAGAACATTTTCAGTCCATAACCCTAAGACTTTATTGGAATGGAGACACTCAGCTACAAACAAGGAATCAAACCTTCTCCAGGCAGAACATTTAAAGGTTTGCAATGTTAATATCACCTGCATTTCAGCTTTTGTATGCTATATGTCTTTTAAGCTCAATACAGAAAACCAGAGAGGTGCCAAAAACAACATGTAAAAATCCAGCTGTATTTAGATTTAACTGGTAAATCAAATATGACTGATGGGAGGGTCCTGGATTGGATGCTGAAGCATAGAAAACATTGAATCTAAGATCCTTTATGTATATCTCCAAGTACAAATTATTCTGCAAAGGTATGTTTGATGAGATTGATGAATTCTGTTTCGATAAAAACATATTTTGGAACACATATGAAACCTTCAAATTCATTAGCTATAGAAATGTTTAGTGATATTTACGCATGTGTGGTTAAGTTCCGTCTTAGAAAAGAGGGTGGTTTTTACTCAGATCTGACAAGTAAAAACAAAATTAAGATCATAACAGGTTATGCATGCCTTCTGTATATATGCGTAGTGTTTAGATGTATACACATGATGTAAACCATACTGAACATATATTACAGTTCCAACTTTATATTCATACATATTTTGTATCATAATAAAGTAGATCAGCTGTATTCTGTTACAGTGAAATTCCTTTAAGAAATGCAGAAGCAGTAATTTTCTTAATACTGCCTTTCGGGACTCTATCCACTTTATTAACAACAAGGTGACTTTTCCCCCCACAACAAAACTACATACTTATACTTAAGGATGCATATGAGTAGCTATCCATTTTTTTTATTATTCTAGCAAGCTAACTTATTTTTCAGTCTGTACAAAAAGGGGAAAAAAATCACCATTTGGTCAGGAGTTTCAGCGTAGCTCTGTGGGAAAAGAAATCTAATCTTTAACTTCCAACTGTTTGCCCCTAAGGTGTTCTAAAATGCATTCAAAAGGTATAAAATGCAAAGGAAACAACATTATACTTGTTTCCAGTGCCTACTAGCATTAGTAAGGAATTAAAAAAAAAAACATGTACCCTAAAGAACATAGAGATGAAAGTTATCACAGCATCTGTCTATTGCCTTTAACAGCAAGGGAGCTCTGAAAATGTATGTATGATCAGTCTCAACAGGCTTTGCTACTGGCTACACCCTTCTTATCTACTGGAAGAATAGGACAAGGTGGCTAAACCCTCTTTCCTTGGAACTAACTACCAATTAGCAGCCCCTTGGACCCACTCCAACCTGTGCATCTATTCCAGCTTCATTACAAGTATTCTGAATGTAGTATTAAACACTGCAGGGACAAGCCCTATTCTAGAGACCAACTCATTCTCATTTCATGTGAAAGGACCAATGGCTCATTCGCCTCTATTTCATTTGACTCCAAACAAAGTAGTTAAGGTTAGAATCTATGGAGTCAGAATACGAAGAAATGTAAAAGTACCTGTAAATATCTGCTGGTGTTTTGATCTTCGGGAGTTCGTGTAAAGAATGGCCATTCCCTGTGCTGTTCTTCCTCTTTCGCTTGGCCTCCTCCTTTCTCTCGCTGAATTTCAGTGTGGTGTTCTTTCCTGTGTTTATCCTGACCTGGATTCAAAAAGAAAGGACAACACATGAGTCACTTCTTGCAGGTGAGAGCTCCCTGCAGATTATAACAAGATTAGCCCTTGCCAAGAAAACATCCATAAAACCTACACATTTAGAGAGTTTTATAAAACAAGCATTCTGATAAAAATATACACAAATAGGTGGCTTTTGAGCTGCAGTGATGCTTTTCATTGCAATTCAAGACTTTTGGCCTAATTTCCCTGTGGATAAATTGCTTGTCCCATTCATTCACTATGAAACATCTGCCCATAAAGAACACAAGAATGTGTTAAGTCTACTATTTAAAAAATAAAAAAACAAGAAAAGAACAAATACCCATAAAACATCTAAAGGCAAAAAAATGTATGTTAATACAAGCACTCTTAAAAAATAAGATAAGGGAGTCATTTGTTCGTGCCATTTCTGCAGTTTTCTGGGCTACTAATTTCCAAGATAGGTTTTGTACAATGTACCATTTCAATAGCCAACAATCCCTGTCAGAACCTAATTCAGTCAGATATTCTCTCTGCTTTAAAGCTCTCATGGAGCCAGGGGGTTTAAAGGATACAGAAGTAAAAGCATACACGGATACATTTAATTCAAATAAAAATGGAGTGATGTGATGTGTTTTCACATCAATAAATTTAAAATACATTTGTCCAGTACTTGACAAGAGAATGCTAATTATAAAACACTAAACGTTAAAAGTCTTTTTGTCTAAAGGCTCCACTTAAAGCAAATTATCATTTACCTTTAGAAGGGAGCCAGATCATTAGGCAACAACATTAAAACCCACCACACCATCAGCTCAGTCTCACTGTTGTGGTGCCCAGCACATAGCTATCTGATGACATCAAAGCCAAGCCAGCTTAAGGTTGCCATGTGTCCAAATAATTTGACATGAACAGATGCATCATTAAAATAATGCGGCATGCACAAGATAGATGTTAGGCAATCAACATTTTAGACAGTATGTGCACTTTTTTTACACAGAAAAATTGGTTTTCAAACAGTCATGGGCAACACCTCTTCAGCAATCAAACAGAACCTCAGTGGCAAGAGAATACCATGATCCCAGCACACAAGTGGGTCACCATAGTATACTTTGAAATGATGATAATTAATTGTAGCTCGGGTTAAATTAAATCAGATACATTCACTCACTGATACAAACATTAGGAATCCCAAGTCAATATAGCAAACTCTCTGATGGCAGGCATGAGACAGATGTCCATGACCTTCTGAGGCCAGGAAGATCCCCAGGTCTCAACCCTACTGAAAACTGGTGGAATCAGTGGAATGTGCAGTTCAATCCTACACACCATTACCTTCATAACAATCTCACCTGATGGCAATCCTGCTAAAGAATGGGTTTGGTCTGGATTCTTATCTCTCACAGACAGAGAACCCAGACCTAATATAAGATCATATTTGTTAGATGATCCCAATACTTTGGTCAATAAATACGCTATTTACAATGCAACACAAAAAAGGATCCATTGTATTTCAAATAAAAACTGCCCAGAAAGGCTTCAATGAGACTCACCCTTTTTTGCTCCACAGTATGCAAGAAATAGATTGTCGGTACAAAGCTCCCCACATCTTCGTCATCGTCACTGTGAGGCTGCCCTGTGCCATTCACCTGACATGTGATCAGACGCGAGTCTCCCTGAGTCACCGGAGGCCAAGCCTCCCTCTCATGAAGGCCACTGGTTAAATTCATATTTTGACATTCCTTCTCTTCCTCAGATGAAGAGGATGCCGTATCTTCTCCATTTGTATATGGGTTATCAGTCACTCTAAAATAGTGCAAAAAACAGCATGAATTAACTTGTCCAATGTTGACTATAGAGATATCCAAGACAATATAACACTGAAACTCTGAAAGGAAGAACACTATAGAATGCAGACAATACTGAAGTAAAACAAAACACAACTGTGCCCAATGCTTAAAAATTGTATTTTTTAGCTAGTACAGTGAAAGTTTGAATACACAGGGTTATAAGATGAACTGCAGTTGCCTAGTATTAAGCAGGTTTACATCACTGAATGTCATAAAAAGGGAAATGATTACAATGTTTCTCTGTCATTCCACTTGATTAAGGTTTCTTGACTTTTGTATTAATATAATCTCATATTAAAATGAATTTTCATTATCATACATTTAAGCTCTCTAATATTTTCCACCATTAATTGTTCACTGTACATCCTGCAATGTATAAAAGCCTTGGATTCAAAAAGAATCCACATTCAGACAACATGTGTCAGTGTTTAACACATCATATTTTAAAGTTTTCTTTACACTGGTGTGCTCAACTTGGAAAACTTGAATCCTATGACTAAAATGAAAAGGGTTCTCAAAATGATAATACTGGCATAATTAGTGATATCCTCCTAATGTGACATTTTTTAATTGCAAAGAAGAGATAGAACGTTTACATACAATAAGATTAATGTAAAATATATAATTAGTCATATCCCCATAAGGATGTTGAATATGGCCTTATTAATTTGGTACATTCTTAAATGCAGGAAGAGCTAAGCAAATTCTCATATGACTCAACATTTAAAAATGGTTGCATTAATTTTTTTCCCAATTTTTGTTTTACCGAACTTGCTGATCCATCAGTTCTTCTTGTGCCTCAAGTTCATCCAGTCTCGCCCAAAGCTTTTCTTCTGATAGAATACCACTCCTGCCTTTGGAATCATTCTCTTCAACATCAATGCTGGCTTCAAAAACATCTTGGATTTTTGGTTTGGAATTAGGTTTGTGGGCCGTTCTTTGTTTTCCTGATAAGACAATGATTCACAGTTTACTTGGAGTTCTGCTAATTAAGTTTAAAACAAGCATACTCTGTTTATTACTAACTTCTCAGAAAATTAATTGCTGAGTAACTACTTCCACCAATAGGACCACAAAAAGCAAGTTATTGAATGCTAATATCTTCAGATCAAGCCTTTTTGAAGCATCAGGATGAATATAATTTCAGTTGTTTTCTATTCTCAGGCATTTAAAACACATACACGAGCAAGAATTTCTCCTCTCCTCTTTTAAAACTTACAATCACACCTTCCAAAATTAAATACAGTAACTCTACATACACCACAGTTTTAGTGTTACATGCCTTATATGACAAATGAGTTTTTTTGAATTGCTAGGAAATGTAATTGCCTAGAAGAGCAGATTTATGGAATATGTTACCTACATTTTGCCTACGCCAATGTACTTGGTACAAATTAATTATTGATTAATCTCTTGCATTAAAAAATGCAGATAAGCAATATTAAACTAGTTCTAAAGGGTATTTTAGGTTTAATCCACAGTCAGTTTATTCAGCTCATACTTTACCATCTTATTGACAATTCTGACTCTTACTAATCAGTATACAAAAGAAAAAATAAATGTCAGCAAAATCTCTTCTACTTGTCAGTTTTGAGATATAATGCCTAGTTCTAAGATTGGCCTTGAGTCTCACTTTAAAATTCAACAAATCTTGAATGCAGCTATCCCAGATTTCCAGGTTTTATGAGGGGTTAAATAAAACCAAATGATCAGAATTGTGTAACGATATCCCCATCATCCTGGGACTAAACCTCAATACCGTTCAGCCCTGCGTAGCTACTGGAAAAGGTCAAGGCAAAGTTTAGATAATCTACTTGGTTAAAGATATTCATGGTCAGCTTTATCACAGACAGGCTTTCAAAACTAATGAGAGGGAATCTAAATATTTGCTGATGTTCTGAAAACTCCCCTGTCACAGAACTTTTTTTAATACAAAGCATGAAATGCTTTAAAAATTCCTTAACTTATTAGCAGATTTGTGATTTTCAAAACTGATACACTTAATTAAAAATTACACAGGGCTCACTGTAATTAATTCTCTTAATCAAATACCTTGCTTTATTTAGTTATACAAACATGAATAAAGTACATCTGCAGCTTGAAATTGAAATTTTATTGTTAATTGGATTCCTTTGCAGTTAGTGATATGAAAGGAATGAGGAGATACCAACAATTATGTATCAATACCTTTGGTAAGGATTTCTTCATTTTCAACCTCTTCTCTTATGTCCACAAAATCATCCTTTCCCTAAGTAAGAAGTTACAAAAACACTGTGAGCAATTAACATTATGTGGAGACATTTGCTCTAAACAAAACACATTGTCTCTAATCCCTCAAAGTAGAAAACTATTTTATTTTTTGCCAAAAAATATTTATAGAAAGCAAAAATAAGTCTTGCTTGAGTAGGATGTCCTTTGGAACAAATGTATTCTTAGTTCTCTATTAGCTATACATATTACACTGTAGAAATACTTTCTGACTTATTATTCTATCTTTTAAAACAGAATAAGCACAGTGTTTGTGTAACCTAAGCACAATTTTCTAGGAATTATTCAAATAATCCAATTCAGAAAAAAGTGGCTGATTAGTCTATTGGGTGCTAAACTATCACAAGAGCAATTCTTATGAAAGGCTTATTATTGAGTTACAGAAACTTACACCAGACAGTTTTTCAAGGTCTTCTGTGAATCCCACTCTGGCTTCAAAATTCTTCACTACTTTGTATAAGTCATCAAGTGCGCTTTTTACATCTGAAAGCAGAGGAGGAGGAAAAAAAAGCTGAACAGCACATCACCGAGAAAAAAAAATCTGAATTAGAAAAATGATCAAAATGTAATCCTTCTTATGTCTGAAACAGGCTGGGAAAAGCAAAGATTACATGATACCTACAATATCTTTACAATTAGTTTTTGCGTACTTCATTCACATTCAAAGACATATAATAAGGTCAAGGAAAAGATGATTAAAATGTCTATATTTGTGTGCCACCTAAAACTGTATCCAGTAATTTGTCTATGTCTTACATTATTTTAGCAACATCTGGCGCTGGGTGATTTAGGTTAGACAAGTAATTACTGTCATGTTTTTATCCTGAAGACAGGTGTACTTTTATTAAAATGCTCTTTATCTCCTCTGCTGTTACTGATAATATGGACGTGAATGCATACCTTTAAAACAATAAATTTATAAAAATACACGTAGTGGCAAGGTTTGCACATATTAAACATATATTAATGCTAAAAATATTTTCAGAATCCAATGTAAAGAGCCATATACAATTTATCTACGTAGCAGAAAAATTATATAGGGCTTATCATTAAAAGGGTAATAACTGACTGCAAACAGCTGGGTTTTAGATACTGGTAATAATTCTCATTATGTAATCCATTATTACAACAAAGAGTACAATAAATGTACATTTGTGGTTTTATTGAGATATTTTCTTGAAAGCAGAGCAAGGTTTTATTCCTGTGTATCTACATAGAATTATCATACATCACATTTCTGACCAAGACACAAGTGCCCCATATCACTCTTTGTGATGATCCTTAGCAGTGGCTGAAGCAATCAGCTCAATGTATGTAGCTACTTGTTGTCAAATACAAGGGAAACATTTCAGTCCTGAATTGCAAATCCTACATCTGCATTAAACTACTGCATGATTTCAAAGACTGGCTTAAAATGTACCAAAGCAATCTCTTGAAATTACAGACTTAAATATGCTGAAAATAAATACATAATAGAAAATTAAAATAGAAGAAAATGAAACAGCTCTTCTGAAAAAAACAAGCTGTGTTTTACTATGATTTTGTTGCTTCTTAACTTTACAAATAGAGTGGTGAAGTCTTTTAAAATGGAAATACACTTTATCATGGTCATTTGGCACAGAGCCCTGATAAATCATTCCGAAGAGCTGTTCCTACAACCTAAAGGAAAACAAACTATGTTGTAAAGCACTTCTTTACTGTTTCTAAAGCAAGCGGTTCACTTTCTGTGAAAGTGATTTACCATTTACACAAGAATCTACGAAGAAATGTACCACCTTTCTTATGGTACTATGCTAAATGCTGTTGATCCACAAACACTGTAGAGTTAATACCAAAAAGACAAAGATATTACATGTTTGTTACTGCTTTTGTGTTTGAATAGTCATTATGCTGCAAACCCACTAAGAAGACAAATATATACCTAATATAGGCTAGTGAATAACATTAATTTGATTTTATTTTAAAAAGGTACACTTTCATATTATTACAACAAAATCACCAAAACACATTGGGATTCAACTCATCTCTTTGCATAGAATTAGCTACATACAAAAGAATTTCAAAATGTCTTTACTGTGTGGGTTCAATCAAAATATTCTGATCCTTGTTAGAAAAACTGAATATGTATGAATATCTCAAATATGCTGAATTTATTTGGAATATTTAATGAGATCTAAAATATAAGTCTCTATTTCATCCACTAATAAAATCAGTCTTCTATAAGCATGCCATAAATTGAAACTGAATAGAAAAAAAGAGAAAGTCTCTGTGATTCATCAACATTCAATGACAGAATTAGACTATCCTGCTTTGCAGAAAATTTTACAAAAAAAGAATATATATATGCACTACTTAGAAATATTTATTCTATGTAATAAAATAAAAATTTACCAAACTTTTTTCCCCCCATTAAAACAGATCTTACATTTTAACTAATGTAATACATTTAAAATGGGATCTTCCAATGCATATGTACTTTTAAGAGCTTCTTTTCAATAAAAATAAAATAAAAAAATAATTCTGGTGAATGCAAACAGGTTGTAGTTGTATGTACAACAACTATGTTGTCAGTGTATAAAGATAAAAGCTGCCAGCAGTGAAGAGGTTAAGACTGAATGCATTAACAAAGGAAAATTATAGCGTAAACAGTTCATAAAATCTCACAGCCCTGATGTCGCTCTAGATCATTAAATTTCTGCAACAATTAGACCTTTTCTCACGGCAGCAAATTGGACCCGTTGCCATGGCAAATCTGAGCCCTTAAGTCATATATCTTTGATTGCGGAAAGGTCAGACGCAGACAGCCTAATAACTCAAGGAGCTGTTTGACAGATTTCATCCAAGCATGATCACATAACAGCAGAAAACTATGTCGGCAGTTGTTAAAAGCAGGAGGGTCAGGGAAAAGGTTAAGGTTATGGAATGTTTTTGCTTCAGTAAACTGAGTCAGATAATGTATCTAACCAAGTTTACATTTAAAAGAATATTATTTTAGGTACTGGGTCAGATCAATAGAATTATTTTCAGCAGAACTGACTAGTACATTTGGAAAAACAGGACAAAAATGCACCTCGAATAATGCAAATGAAACGTGATAGATTTGTTGACTTTTAGTAGCTCTTGAGATTGTTCTTTATGTACAGTGAAAAATAGCAGCCCTTGAGCATGGAAAATTATTTGCAGGCAATGAAAGACTACACTGCATCAACATTCTAAATATACAAATACAAACCCAACCCCCACAGCATTAGGAAAGGTTAGTGAATATTGTTAAATAAAAATAATTAACATGCATTACTCATTTCATAAAGATTTGTTCATAACTTTGATTTTAAAATTACCTTGAAGCTGGGACATGTAAAGCTAGTACAGCATATTTTTCAAAATATTTGTCAGATTGAAGCAAGCTTTCTCAACAGTTGTTAATACGATGTGAAGAGTCTATGATCTTTTCTTGTGTTCAGTTTGTTTTGTTGGTATTTCACTGGCAGTCTGTCGGCTACATATCCCACAGGTACTTCATATAATACTGACACCAGCACCCCCTGCTGGGAGAGAAACCACTGGGGGTCGCTGCGGGCAGCCTCACAGGCACTTCCTCCTCCTTCACTGTGTACGGAAGACACTTGTAAACCACATCATCCCTGGAGTGTGTCACTGCATTTATGAAAAGCCAGGATCTGGCAAGGAGTTGAATTACAAAGCTTGGTTTGCATTCAGTGGCTCTGCTGGAGTATGAACACCTACATCTTAGTAAGAATGAGTCAATTCAACCACAGTAGCAGGGCTGCAAGGTTAATGTACACAGCAAGGCTCAGAATTACCTCTACCGATGTACCTTTTCCTGGATTTATAAACACTGCTACTTAAGGTGATTGTCTAAATGACCAAAACATAGGAATCTGAGCAATCTGATTCTTTCCAAAGTGAACCAAAACTAGTTTAATTGTTTGCCTGTTCCCTGGGCTATTATAACTCATAACACATTGCCAATTATTACCCTAAAAACACAGATAATGCATAATTAACATGAGAAGATTCCCACAAGACAATACACTACAATTTAAAAAGACTTTTCACTTGAAAACTGTACTGTTTTATTACTGTAATAATCAAAACCAGCAAAATAAAACACTAAAACTAATGTATTTAATCTAAAGCAAACTTTTACATTTGCATGTGTAGGAAAAAATCTACAATTTATAAAAAATGTTTAAACTAGAAACACTGATTCTGCACTAAAACAACTTAAAATTTAAAATGAACAGTTCAAATTGATGTAAGGAGAAGGGTTTCAAGTTGATATTAATAGTGTATAGGCTTGATGCCTCCTGCAGCTCCTTACCACTTAAGAATTTTAGCCTAGATAATTCACTGACATAATGTCACCTTTATAATTAGCCTACTCTGCTGAGTCACACACAACTATCTTCCCACAGGTGCAAGTGTCAACAGTATAAGACGAACAAGCTACATATTATTTTCAGACTAAGACACAATAAAGAGGAAGTTTCTCGTCAGCTGCACCGGCTTCACTGATATGTTTCAAAGGGAGTCCCTCACTCATCCATCTTTAGAAAGCTGTTTATCCAGGTGAGAGTTGTAGTCTGTTCCAGACATATTGGCTGCAAGGTAGGACTAAGAACACACAACTGCCATCACCCTGGACAGAATGCCAATTTGTCGAAGGATGCACGTTGGAACAATTAATCTACACACACAAGTCTTTGAACAAGGAGAGAAACCGGAGCACCAGGTGAAATCCCCCATGTACAAGGAAACTTCACACAGAAGAATTCTCAGCTTGGAAATGAACCCAGGAGCCAAGAACCATTAAGGCAGTAGTACTAACTGCAACAATACTTTGTCATCAGGGAGGCCCTCATTTTCTATTAAATACTATTTTTATCAGAACTGTTACAATTTGCAATTAAACTTTTTCGATCAACTGGAGTGGGCACTTAAAGCATTCACTAATTGCCATAGTCATAAATGAATGAAACAAAATATAATGACTGTGTGTCTGGATACTTCATTTGAGTAAAACTAGCACAAAGAAAGTATGTAAAACATAAAAATTGCTTGCTTTCGCATTAAAGATAACTTACGTTTCTTCCTGTGCTCCACCAGGTTAATGGCCTGCTTTGCTGAGCATTTTGCAAACCAGTTGTCACCCAGCAATACTGTGACCTCATTTGTATGCACAAGTTTTCCTGGCATGAAGGCAAGAGAGCCAAATGGTACCTGACACACACACACAAAAATGATGTCAGGAACAACAAATATGCAAACACCCTGAAATAATTTGAGCTCTAAATGTTAAACACACTCCAAAACTGTTAAAAACACAATTTAACTTTAAATTTAATACATACTCCAGTATTTACAAAACCAATACATAATAGAACCAAAGGCACACTAGGAATCAACAGATCCTAGATTCCATGTCAATATTACACATTTACTTTTCCCAAATACCTTCAAAGTTTGTCTTTTCATTTCAAAGCTTAAATGTGGAAACATTAGAATTTAAGATATGTTAAATTAGTCCAAACATTATTCACTTTGAGTCCAAAAAGGTATTCATCCAGTGCAGACATGACACCAAGGCAACAACTTTTTTTTATATATATATACAAAGCATCAAAAACAATTACTACAGGAACAAATTCAGAATGTTATTAGTAGGAAAAAGGTTTTTTGTAGCAGTGGCACTGAAATTGTATCAAACAGACATGAAATCGTTAAAAGCATTATGCTGATTAACACTGTTTTTCAACAAGGTGTCTAGGAGTGTGCCAATAGAGTTGTGTGTCCACTGGTGGAGGTAATACAAGTTCTACATTTGGCACATACAATTTACACTAGGTTCCAGATTCTGTTTTGTGGGATTCGGTGCTATATCCATCTTAACCTGGACAATGTACCTGCTAACCACTCCCTGATCCATAGATGCCACATGTTGTAGTATCAATTAATCCCATAAATAGCACTTGGGGTTCAGGTCTGGCAAGTAGGACATCAATGACACAACTACAACTTTCTCATTCCAAAACAAAGCCATTGTTACATAAGCAGCATGAGGATGTGCAATGTCCTGCTGGAACATTGTAATATCAGGATGAACCCATAGAAAGGGCTGCAAGTAAAGTCCCAGAGTCCATGAAACTTGATTAATGTAGTGTCATGCAGTCAGGCAACTAACTATCACTACATATGGAGTAAAGAGATCAAAAAGGACTTGGCTCCATGGCTGGCAAGTTCAACTGAGGTGTTGTCCCAACATACTGATTACCCAAAGGCATTTTTTAAAAACACACATAGAGTAATATATTTTTCTTTGATGCTCAGCATACGTTAATCTTCAGCGGCATTGTTAAAGATTAATTTAAAAACAGATTAAATGTTTTTACAGTTAGAGCACAAAAAGTTTTATTTTTTGGGGACTAGTGATGAACACACAGAAAATTTCGCTAGTAAACAGAAATGATAACTAATAAGTAGTTCATGTAGGTACCCGTGTTAGCACGCTAAGGCTGCACAGAAACAAGTAAAGGTTTATTCTATGCTTTTCAGCATGGAATAAACCTTTACTTGTTCACGATAACGAATAAGATGCAACACTCAGAAAAGGAGGTGTTAAAGAAAATAGTCAGATTATTTCCAAAAATTCAAGCAAAATGGGCAATTAAACGTCTGAAAAAAAATGAAGCAAAATCATGTACTGGTGCTGACTTACCATAATATCATACGACAGTTTGTCAGGCAACGAACTGAGCCTTTCCTGAAGAGCCTCATAGTCACACTCTACCTTATTCCTGTTAAATAAAAAGTTGACAAAAGTGTTTAAGCAAAACGGTTTACTTTAAAGTGAAAAGTAAAACGTCTAAGCATAACACTTTTCTTCCCACTTCAAAACTATTTTGCCAAAGGCTAAGGGTACATCAGAACTAGCAAGGAGTCTCTAAAGCTTTTATTTATTAAGCAAATATAAATAACCAAAAGTTTTTAATTATGTCCACTGAGCTTTTTGTTCCTTTGTTTCCTTTATATTTCTATAAAACAGTAATGAGTGAAGCCAAGAGAAACCTAGAAAACAGGTGCTACTCATTACTTGTACAGTGATGTATATGTATGGCAATTAAATTAAATTAAATGGAATAAAATAGAACTCTGAAAAACCACATTGGCAAGATCACCTATTAAAAACAAGTTTCTGACATAAACCCAACCCCTGATCCAACCAATGGTTCCTTACTCTGATCCTGGGGGACTACCATGTCCTCTGTTTTTATTCTAACCAAGTTCTTAATTAAAGGCTAGTGAATTTTAAAGTAATGATTATTTAAGTAATGGCAAATTCTTACACTTAGTTTCATGACACGGAATATGCATTTGTGACCACTTTATGAGTTAAAGAAAGACTATCAGAGTGGCACAGAGTAACAGTGGTTAGCACTGCTGCCTAATAGCACTGGGGCCCTGGGGCCAATTTCTACGGTGCTATCTGCGTATAGTTTGTCTGTTCTCCATGTGTTCTTTCAGGTGCTCTGGATTTCTCCCACAGCACATAGACATACCTGTAGGTTAACTGGCTTCTGTAAGATTAGCCCTGATATAAGTGTGTGTATATGTGATGGACTGTTTTTTTGGCAAGGTGGTATCCTGCCTATATCCAATGACTGTACTGGATAAAGCAGTTTAGAGAATAGATGGATAGATAAAGAAACACAATGATACAGACAAGTTATCCCAGTTTTAACCACATTGTTCGAAAGAGGAAAAACAGGGCCAACCTAGTGATTTAACCAGTAAAGGTGCTCCCTGTGTACAGGTTGAGCTCTGCAATCGTGGGTACATGCTCTGTGACTCGGATTTCCCAGCAGTAGCACATAACTGGCTGGGCACCCTCTAAGGGTAGAGTGGAATTAGAACAGGGCTCTCTTGGGTTTTGGAGACACAGTGACCCCTACTTTCTGAGCACTTGCAGTGCCCTTGACCTCTCTTCTCCCTAAACCTCCAAGTACAGGGATACGTTTCTCGTGACACTTTAAAAGAAATATGTCTCAAAGGCAGGCAGGTCAGAGGACTCTGCCTACACTTCTTCATTCTCCCCTATGTGTGGTGCCAGGGTTAGCAGATGAGAGTTGAGAGAAACAAACTATGGTGCAAATTGGGTGGGGTGGAGCCAAAAATAACTGCCGATTCTACATTCTTGAAAAATAAAAAAAAACAATAGTAAGGAGTTCTGAATTTTGGTATATATTATTTCCATAAGGGACTGTTCATTACAAATTGATCACCTGTTAAAAGATATTTAGACAGAAATAAGAGAGCAAACACGTTCAGCAGAGACTGCAAGTTCTGATTGATGAAATGGAATATTTATAAACTGACAACTGGGTAACAAGCAGAAAAAAGAAATCAGTTAGCAATAGTAATAATTAGGAGCTCAGGTGGAATGAAAACCAGCAGACACAGAGGTCCCCCAGGGCCAGGGTTAGGAAACACTGCCTCCAGTATCCTTAAGATAGACGAGAACACTGAGTCAGGGGGTTACAAAATAACCAACATGCTTGATCAGTCTTAGCTGTGCTCCATGACACAAAGCGATTTACATAACCTACCTAAAAATGATACTGAAATACGCTGAAACAGAGAAGGAACAAACTGCACGAATTATGAAGAGATGCAGACAATGCAAGCATTGAAACTACATTTTAATTTACTACATTTTCCTTCAATTTAAAGTGCTGGGATCAGCAAGTTAATATGGATGTTATCCATTTGAAGGTACTGCAAAGATAAATGCAATAGTGGCTTGTAGCAGTCACATTTCTTGCAGAAGAACACAGACAATTTGCAGTGCTCTTTAGTGTAATTCAATTTTACCACTTTATACCTTATATCACCCAGGCAATTTTTATTCACAATCACATTAGAAAACATCTACATCAACTTCTTAAGATTTAAGATGCAGACTGATATAAAGTAGCTCAAAATCATTTCAAAAAACATTCTCATGCTCAGATGGTCAAACAAAATACATCACACTCACCAGTGCCGAATTTGGTCTTGGCAGCCACTGACCATCTGTTATTAAAAAAATACAAACACCTTTTGAAACTGTCACAACAAAGCGTATGGGACAATGTATAAGAAAACAGTGACTCTTCTGAACAATTCCCAACCATGGTGTTTAAGAGCTGAATTTCAGAAATTGAAACATGCAGACAACTAAAACAAAAAAAAAACACTAACAGATTTATTTTTTAAAATGTTTGTGTCATGTTAGATACAGAACTCTTCATATACTTAATGTATACATGTACATATCTAATGTATCATATAAATAATCTAGTAGCAAAAAGACTTAGAACTCCAAATCAAGGTTAACAGCTTCCTACATTTAATATACAATGTCTATAATTATGTGCAAGGCTTCATGATAGATTGACAGGTAAATCAAGAATCTAATCTCTTCGGATCTTGAAAATGGACGTGGACCCAGTAACTTTACAGGAAGCAAAATAAACAGGTGCAATAGAAGAGCAGCTTGCATAACAGTCTGGGTTCTATCTTCAGCTCTTGGCTTAACAGAACCCAAAATCTCTAGAGAATAATTTCAAAGGGCCTTTTTTTCTTACAAGAGCAGCCTTTTAAAATGGACCACTGACAACAACATAATCCATATCTACTATATTGCTTTTCATAATACAAAAGCAGTTGATGACATTCCCTATTGTCCAGGATCTGGTATACTTGGTTATATTTAATACTGACAGTATAAACATTTCTTAACATATAGAGATTTGTTATGAGACCTTAATTGTAGTATAGTTGCAAAACGAATTCATAGAGTCCAAAACTCTGGCTGTTAAGGTCTGGTTAATTCTTTACTACAATAAGCAAACAAAGCAAAAAATCAGAACTTCAAACAGAGGAGCCCACCACAGCAATGTGACATCTATTCTGCACATATCTTGAACAATGGAATTCATACATAAGCCGTAATCTACGTACTAGAACATCCTTTGCTTCTCAACAGACTGTGTTAACGATCAAACTGCAACATAGAGAGCAACCAGTTATTGAAATGGCAGCATTTTAACACATGACCCTTGAGACTTAAGCATGTGGTACCTGGCCTGATCACAGTCACCGAATGCGATTATACACAATCACAGAACGAAGATTATAAATCTTTTAAACACTCTGATCATGTAACACATCTGGACCACATCATTCTTGTTAAAGCTAATAATGAAATAGAGAAGTCATTATACTTCTCAGACATTCTATATCACAGTAAAGAAGAGTAAGGAGATTGATTACAAGTGCTGTGTCAAAATATAGCCTACGATTTCTGAAAACAAACCTACAAAGTAAGCTTATATACAGGTAGGCTTATTAGTTTCTCTGCACCAACTCATCATAATGGTAACCTTTCTAGCACAAACATGCATACCACAGACTGCCGTGTGATGTTTACTGTGAGCAACAAGTGTGGAAATCTTAAATAAAATGTATGTCTATACTGTGAAAGGAAGAGTCACAAATAAACTCCCCATTTTAGCCCACCTTCAATTTACAAGTGTTTTATTTATTAATGGAATAGTGTGTCAGATCAAATTGAACATATAGCTTTATGTGTCACATTTCTGGATGGATTTCAAATCAATACCAGTCCCTAATGTGCCAAGGGCTTCAATTCATATTTCAACAAAACAGAATTGTGTGTCCGTGTCAACTTTTCAAAGTCATGTACAATTTAACACACCCGCTCTATTCACTGTAAAAAGTGCAATTACACAAAACTAATTAAGTTGAGGTGGAAGCAGGTTTAACTTTGGAGGATGTTAGTGATAAAAAGAATATATCCTCCAGCATTTCTAATAGGAAATACACTAAAGCTAAAAAAAACTTGAACTAATTAATAAATGAGGCATTTCTCAATAGTGATACACAACATCCACTACAGATCTGTTCCTTGTTGTGCAAAACAAATATTTTTTCTTAAATAGTCAAACAGCATCCCTATAAAGACAATGGATATTTTACTCGAACAACAAATTAAAAAATACCGTAAGCTTAACAAATTGCACTACCATTTAGAAGTTGACTACATAAGTTATGTGATTTATAGACATCAGACAGTATTTAATACAAGCAATAACATAGCCTATTGAAATTTATGTTATAATCTCAAATATCAAAGCAATCACAAATTATTAGAACTGTAACTTAAAAGATTAAGAATACAAATAAAAGCACTATCTGCCAGAGTATACTCCAGAACATTTCTGTACAATCAGAATAGCTTCTGTATTGTTAACACCATTAAAAGTTCTGCAATTTAACCACTCACACAGCTTCTATTACATTCGACGTGTTTATTCTATTCCAAAAGGCTGTAAAAATAAGAGCATCTGAAGTTGAGGATTGCATCATGCTTTCTGCTGTCATCTATTAACCTTAAACATGGGTACATTTCTTTAACTCAATGCCAGCTGAATTAATAATTAAATTAGAATGAAGCTTTTGTAAATTAAAATATGCCCCTCTAAACAATTGAGTAATTAACAAAAATACAAATGTAAACAATTTTGTGTTCACAAGAGTGCACAGACCATTTATTCTTTACAATCTACGTCGTGAATTTTGGTTTCAACATTGACATGCAGCACGATTTTTGTTAAATCAATTGCAGCTATTTATTACTGGTTTTAATCTTGCACCCTGCACTAAAATGACAAAAAGGAGACAAAATGTTACGAGTATACTCAGGAAAAAACATGAATGCAAATTAGAATCAATTCTTTGAATGTAAAGCGGTTTTCCCCGTCTATCTAGAAATTGGTTAAGGTAATAAAAAAGGAACCTTAAATCATGGTGGAACATGTATGGCAGTCATGGCAGACTCTTTCCGCCTTCTGTTTTAACAAAATGAGAGAACCTGATAAGTATCATTAGAAAAAGTCATTTAAAAAGGGTTGAAGTGCCATCATCAATGCAGGGATGCCATGGCAACTTAGTTAGCCCAGCATGAAAGACATGATTAAGAAAACGAGCAATCCCATTGGTAAAGAAGGTCGTATGATCAGAATTGATCGATGAATTGTTTTCCTTCTTTTCAAGGTATATGGCACCGTTTAATTCCAGCTGCACCTGTAAAGTACTGTATTTCAACCACAACAAAAGTATACAGTTAAACGTACACCGTTACTGACAAGTCCACTAAATATCACATTGAGAACAGACATTGAGAACATTTTCATTTAGAACAATTAGAAAGTATACAGCTTCATATATCTAAATAGCCTATCAACAGTATTTTAGAGTGCAATCATTGAATAAACAAGGCAAAATCCACAAATAAGGTCTTTAGAGTTTCACCTTTTGTGTCACGTTTTGTGACTAATAGCTTTTTTTTTTTTGCAATGCCTTTTTTAAATTCTGTGCCAAAGAGTGCTACTTCAATCAAGATTGTTACATGAACTACTTACGGAAGGAAAGGCAAAAAATGCCGAAATAATTTTGGAACAATGTGTAAAATGCTTTTGAGCTACAGTATTAGAAATACCTGGTTGAAGAAGATCATATGAAAACAAATTTAAATAATTTAAATAAAGCATTACATAGAACCATGCATACATTTTTCACACAATAACGATGACCTTACAAAAACAGGTCAAAACACCCATAATCCCTTACAATAACCTACATTCCTAATTGATCTGCTTTTTCTGGGTTTACTTACATATATTATATCACATTATAAAAGTATTTAATATTATAATATATATTTATAATTATAATATATTATGATTTTGATATTACATTATAAAAGACTCATAAAAGTTTATCAACTAGACGCATCTGTATTATTCTGTATTGTTCTTGTGTCAGTCAGTTTTGTTGAGAGAAAAGGCTATCTTTTATAAACCTGTTTTATCAGAGGATATTCAACAAATTGGTTCTCTCAGAAGTAATGTGCCCATGGTAATATAAAACCTATCTAATGCACCTGGAATAAGTTTCAAGACTTCAGATGTTGCAGTAACAGAACACAAGGTTCCACATTTATCGTTGCAGTGTCAGCAAGTTAACACTTTGTTTAAATCTGTATGCAGTGCAAACAAAAAGTCACAAGGTAATCACCATGGTATTCGCTTTTTAATTTTAGGATGGTTCCAATCACGTGAGTCGCCAATCCACTCACATTATAAAGTTAGCTTACTAACAACATGCACTAATCAATCCCATGAAAGCAATCTGTCAGGAAATCTTTAGGTTTAAGAAACACTATTAGAATAAGGATGAGGTGCATTTGTGGGGCAAGGTGGTGAGTCTTAAGAATAGCTGTCTTTATGCATCTCTTATGTCAATAAGGATTAGGTGCAAGCTTTTATCTTTTGTACCACAGACCAGACAGCCATTTTAAAGAAGAATAATGGATTTTGTTTTTTTTTTAATAACAATAAAAAGGATTCTATATAAATACAGCCAAATCCTAAACCATACAGATTTCATAACCGTATGTTCAATACGTGATTTAATCTGTCTCGCTGAAATTTACTGAATGGAATCCAGGACACACAGTAATCAAAGGTAAATTTTATAGAACATTCTAAAATGCATGGGGTCCATAAATGTCCATCTAGAGCAAGTCTCATTCACTGAACTACACATAGTCTTCATCCTGAAATAGGTAAACAGAATCCATCTGGAAATGATGGATATCTATAATTCTATCAAGTGCAGTTTGGTAATAGATGCTGTGTTTGAGACCTAATATTCACAAACAATACAGTATGCAGTGAATGGCAGAAACTATACAGTAAATTATACTTTTAAAAAATCCTCTTAAAGCACAATCCGTCATGCACATCACAGCTACCAGTTGAATGACCTCTTGCTTTTAAGACATACACTTTTTATTTTAATATTCGAAAACTGTACAAAAAATATGAAATAAAATACATTTAACTTGACACTCTCAAACACAGCATGCTCTTTAGAGAATATCACAGATACATTTGAAAGAAATTTCTCTAGAAATAAAATCACTTAAGATTGTTTTACAAAGCTACAAAAATAAATCAGCCTTACACAGCTTCTTTTTTTTTTACAGTATGCACCAAAGAAAAATAAAAAAAAGATCAGACAATGAAATATTTAACTTGGTACTTAAAAAAATGACGTTCACCATACAGAACCATAGACCATACTATTTATATAGTATTAAGGAGTTTAAATACATATACACATTACTTTTTGTCATTCTTAAGATGGAACCCAGTTCCATTCATCCACTAAATACCACAGCCTGTATGTTTCACAAGCTGGACAGTGCTTTCCACTGGAGGTCAACAAAAGATCTGCAAGTACTGTGTCTAAATACCACTTTGTTAAACAGGACAGAGGCATTAATTAATGCACTGAGTTGTCACTGTCGAGAAGCATACATTAAAATCAATGGTTAATAAATTCAAAACACACAACAAACTCAGAGGGGATATGAAAATAGTATTGTGCTCCCTTGGAAGCAGCCCCAGAGCGGGTCCTCCTACCAATGAGGCGGCCACTCTGATGCCTAATGGAAAGTACCCGATGCCAGCTGTGTGCCTGTGAATAAAATCACTTTAATTAAAGGAATTACAATAGAAGGAGGTGGGGGTTATGCGAAACAAACTGAACGGAAATGGCCCCAGCATTGGCAAGCACTTCTTAGAAAACAAACCTTAAAGGAATATTACGCATTTTCTTCATCTTGAGGTAGTTTCAAAGAGCTTTGAGCAAATCTTTTCAAACATTTTTTAAAATACAGTTTAGTACCACGACTAAAAATAATAATTTTGAAGCAAACATGGGAGCTCAGATGTTCAAAAGATCAGTTTTGTGCCCATTTTCTATTGGTGTTAACAATAGAAACTTAAAACCTAAACCAAATTCAAACCTAGAAACAAAAGACTTCAATATTAGGGACAACTGTGTCCAATAAACTGCATTATGTATGTGCGAGTCTCTATATATATTTCACAAAGAACACCTTTCATGGGTATATCTTTTTTCAACATAATTTTATACATTTATATTCAACATAGAAATACATTTTTAAACAAATCCAGTTTAAGACAATCAGACCTTTTTTTTAATTTTGCATAGGTAAAGACTTCTGGAAGAAAACAATAATTCTAAGAAACTAACCTAGGAACCTTATACACTCAGTTTTACAATGAGTACACTTCTTTCTTGCAACAAATACAACGAATTTACATCTTTCAGCATTAACAATTGCATATTTAAAATATTTTTAGAAGGAAAACAGGCATGAACCAAAATTATTTAAAGTCTGGTTATTTTAGGGTGTACTCTTTAAATCTGAATTATGAAAACTGTAAATAAGACATAATATCAGACCACTTTCATTTACCTTGAATTTTGTGCAGTTACAATGTGCTTAGGAGGACCTCTGGCTCTATTGCCAAACGTAATTCTACAGTCCTGTAATTAATGTGTTAAACCACAAGAGGGTAGTATGTACAAAGTTATTTTTCACTAGACTATCAGCTTCCACTATAAACCGAAGAATCTTGATAGTTCATCCTGTTCAAATGAATACTGGAATAAACTTTAAGCACTTACTAATAAGAAAATGTGAAAGCTCTAAGATAAAAAAAAATACTTAGGGTCAGGGTAAGTCAGAAACTTGTTGCATTCTTCAGAAAAAGAAATAAAACTCAATGTAAAACTGCAGTGTAAGATCATTAAAGCAAAATACTACTCTATCGAGGCAGATTTAGATCAAAATACATTAGAAAAAAACATTTTCTAATTATTACCACTGAAGACTTAAAATTATTAGAAAAAAGTAAATTGCTTCTCTCTATTGTCTATATAAATGAATCATTTTAAAACAAATTAAAAAGATCTAACTGGATAATGTTTGACATTAAACTTTTTTTTTCCCCAATTTCATCTTTCGCAGATAATGCTTGAATTCTGCATAGCTTAATCCTAATGTTGAATGTTACTGAAAAGCAGTGTGCAGTTGTGCAAACATTCACATCACATATTCAAAACACACAGTAAAAGCAGAAATTTTGCATTGTGAAGGTACAAAAGAACATATCTATAAAATAATAATAATACACTTTATTTTATATAGCACCTTTAAAGGTGACTTCTCAAAGCACTTTACAGAATGAGAACAACAATAAATAAAAAGAATACACAAGATAAAACACAATTACAATATACAGAGGAGACTGTGGATGGTGGTACTAAGAAAAGCAGAAGGGTGAAGAATGGAACCAGTTAAGTAAAGGCTCTTCTAAAGAAGAAGGTTTTGAGTCTGGATTTGAAGGTAAAAGAAACATCTGGACTAAAATCATTTCATAGCTTGCTTACTTGCCTGGTGTTAAGTGGCGGATTGACAGAGAATCCTAGTCATTTAAAATAATCCATCTAACTGGTATGAAACCTTTTTAGGCCCTTGTCAACAGTACAATATTAAGTGTTCATCTGCATCAATCTAGGATTTTATTTTCAAAAACCAGAATTCAATTAATCAAGAAATATATAAAAGACCATTATGGTGCCATTTACACATAAAGCTTGCTAAGCCACAACTTGTAGTGAAGTGCTAAGCAGTTAAGGCAAAAGGCCTTAGGAACTACAGCACAGTAAAGGAGTAGAGACAGCACACACTGGCTCTCAATTGGACACTGTTTCACATGCAATTGCTTACAATAAGCCACAGAGGGAGACAATTCCTCATGGACAGTATATAAGTGGTACTAAGCAGGATTAGTTTTTATTATAATAGGTCACAAAAAAAGAAGCAGTTGCATAGTCTTCTGTTGTCACATAACTTAACCAACATAACAGATTTATTAGGTAAAGCCGCATTAGGGTAATTATTGCGTTTTACAGAAAATCTTAAACTAATAAAATATTGAAATGCATGCACTACAGCCACACTGGAACTGCGTGTTTACAAGTAGTAATGTCTCCCATGTGCGAATTACAGTAGCCGGAAAACATAAACAAGATGATACAATGTAGAACTAGCCCTCCAGGATTAACAGTCAGATCAGTGCACAGTTCTCTAGTGCTTCATAATCCTGTCTTCACATAGCAGCCGCAGTGTCCAATTCAGTGACAATTTGTACTCCTGAAAGTTTGGAAGTTGTTACAAGATTTGTTAGTGACTTGCTGGGATGGTAACTGATTCACATCTTTTAAAAACTGGAGGCTTCAGGGTGAAAATCTGTTTTAAATGGGGCACTGTTCATCACCGACCACCGTCAGAAAAGGGGTTGGACGAGGGGGGAGTTGTACTACTGTAATTACGAATTCATGATACTGAAGACTTTAAAACATGACACCCTGATGCAATGCATTAAGTTAGATTGATGTTATTCGAGAGGACACTGCACGGTGATAATACTGAACTTCCGCTAAATTTACATTTCTCCTATGCTACAAAAAACAGATTTTTAAGCATTGGGTACGAGGAACTAACGGTGCAGAAACAAACGGCTAGCGAGTACAAACAAAGGCGACTGCATTTTATAGAATACTTTTTAATGAAATGTAGTTTCTACGATGATTTTTGCGCAGTTAGGCCTAACTTCCTTTCAGCTGAATCTCCGTGATTTTTTTTTTATCTACAACAGCACCTCAATAACCCTTCAGAAATCGGTTCCATTTCCCACGTGATTTCACTACACGATTCCCGAGTTCGTCTGCTATTCAGACCAGCCTAGTTTCTTATTAAAATACCTGTGTGTTTAATTTTTGAATCTATACTTAAAGAGAGAAGGGGCAGGAGGACACACGCAGTGATATACGTAAACAAGATGCAACACGTGATAAGGAAGTTTCGAGAACACAGTGCAAACTTTCACTTACCATTTTCCCCATAAATTTTCAAAGGGCACATAGAATACCCCATTCAGAACATTATTTGCATGACACACAATTACTGCAATGTAAGCTTTTAAAAATACACGTAACCATAAAACAGGACAGAGGTCACATTGTCAAACAGGACCGCGTGGATGCATCCCATTTTAAAACCCACGGGTATTCCGTTTGGTGTTTTCGCTTGTTTTACCTTTTCATGTTCTTCTCGAAGTCTGGATACTTCTGTCGGGAGGACGTTTTCCCTTTTATTTTTGTCAGCCATCTTCCCATGGGGTTTTTTTTATATAAATGTGCGTGAGTTTTTAAGAATCTCAAATGCAACTCTCAAGGGTTGTGAGTCCTAAAGAAATGTTTATGAATACAATTGCAGGAATTTCTCAGGCCCTCTGGTCTCCTTTTAATCATCAATGGAGCAGCGGTTGTTATCCAAGACTTCGGGAGTGAAACCATTTCACACTCGCATTTTACTGTTTCACCGTTTTTCAGAAATTGCAACTGATCTGTTATTCCCCCAGAAGCTCAGCAACGCCTTTCAGCCTGCGCCATGTTCCTACTGGTGTACTCTGGGTAAAGGCTCCGAATCACAACAAAGCTGGGGTGCGTAGAACCGAGCAGATCGCTTACCTCGTTGCTATATGAATCATTGGCTAATTTCCCTGTATGTATGGTCACATGCGAAATATTGTAACCATAATCAAGGCAGCGTATTATTCAGTAGTTATAATGTGCAGAACGAATAGGCATGTCATTTGTGCGTTTATGTCGTGCGTGAAGGGGAAAAAAAGCGATTAGTGTACGTCCGTCGAGAGAATAAACCTAGAGCTTTCATATTTTACTTCAACTATAATTTCCGAGATGACACGATAAACAAACAGGTCAACACCCATATAATCATCCACAGTAGGCTGTTTTGTTTATTTAACATTGTTTGATTTAACATATATTGTTTTCTATTATATCAGTCAAAACCCGTTGCATTTTCCAATCCTGCCCTAAGGGTATGACATTTCCTTGATTTTATGTTCAAGGCAAAAATACGTCCAAAGCTACACAAATGTAAAAGCTGTATGATTTGCAGAATTGCATTTTCCATTTCTTAATGGACTGGCAATCACTGGATATACAAGGTAGTTATTTTCAGGCCAGTGATGCACTGTGCCGCTGGCATAACACCATTTCAAATATTTTGGGTTTGCCTTTTTCCAGAGCCACTGCTTAGCACTCCAGTATCTTTAGGTTGCTCAACAGCTGTGGCTGTCATAGGGAACTGTGGAACATGACTGATAGCTATAGAGATGCAAGAGAATTATGCTATGCAAATGATTTACCAGTTGGATGCAAGAGGGGAATTAGAAAAAATAAAGAACCATCGGTTTGCAAAGCTACCATATCCTCTTACCAGGATTATTGAATAATTAAATGAATGGGTATTATTTTTAAAACGTAGCACAGCATTAGGAGTAAACACAAAAAACGAACAATATAATTTAATGACTGGGAACTCTGAGTGCAGTGTTGGCAAGTGTTGTGATATGTGAGTGTTAAACTGGCATGTGCTGCAAACTGTGGTTATCAGATACATGATCTAAAAAAACACTGGTATGCCAAGGTTAAGGCTTGTCACATAGCCCATGCACAGCTGTGTAAAGTAATATTCTGATAGGCAAATGGAGAAAAACTCCAATGAATGTGTAAATATCCTATCAATAGGGGATAACTCCACCCTAGGGAAACGGCACAGAACCAACTTCGAGTTTAATCCCTGACCCGGCCTCACTTATCTAAACCCATTAAAATAATGCAGATGGACATGAATTGGAGCGGGAACAAGAAATTATTCAGCTGCAGAGATGCGAGACAAATTAAAAGACAAAACACAGACAATCTGCTAAAAGTGTGCGCCTAATAGGAAGGAAATGATAAGGATTTCAGGAAGTTCCTTGCATGGCTTTCATCTCTCTGTGCAGCAGGCACTGCCAACTGCATCACAACACCAGGAGTCTTCTGCTGAATATTGCAGCACACAATTACTTTTGAACATTTGGCCAAAACTAAACATTTTGTTGAATTGTTTCAGGAAGCCACACAGTCTCCCATTCCAGCTGTGTAAAAGCAATAATTCGAACCTCAAGCATTCAAGATGCATACGAGTGTCACATTATGTGTTTCTTAGCGGTTCGACATTCAGAACTGCAGTACTTAATCTATATTATTAAATTACTACCTGACAGATTGGCCAGAGAAGAGTTTTTGAAGTTAATTTAGGTAAAAACAGTAAGTGAACAAATGCTTAATTAGCACTTGCAAAGGAGGAGTCAGTTTTAAAGTCTCTCTTTGGCCGCTAAATTTGAATAGTGTGACATTCATACAGTATGTAACCCCATATGATCTAGTGTTTAGTATTGATAGTTTCAGGCAGCTGTGTGTAGTGTAGGAATGGGCTCATAAGTGGACAGCTGGGAGTTTAAATCCTGGTTTGGAACACTTGCTTAAGATACTTCACTCGTGTTGTTTCAGTGCTGTATTAATGGGTACAAATGTAAGTTGCTTTGGATAAAAGTGTCAGTCAAATAAATTAATACTAATAGTTCAAAGAATCACAACAAAACCAGGGTGTGTCGACCAAGGTAGATAGCTTGCCTTCTTCCAATATGAATCTTTGGATAATTTCTCTCTATATATTTGTGACATGCGAATTATTGTTGTGCCATGGAATACTCTACAGATAATCACCCATTTAAAATCCAGTACAACGCTGAATTTTAATTCTGCACCCGTACACATGTCAAATGAAAGGGGGAGGTTTGAAGATGGCACTTTGTCATGTTTTGAGGAGAATTTGTGATTTTAATGGCTCTTCGTTTTACATGGATAAACATAGGTGATAATTACTATTTTTTCTGGCTGACACTTTTCTCCAAAGCATTTACATCCCTTTATACAACTAGGGATTTTAGTTTAGGAATTTGGGTGAAGTGCATTGCACAAGGATACAGCGATAGTATCTTAGCGGAAGTTAAGCCCACAAAGTGTATGCATGATTTGATTCAACTAACTACCCCTTAATCGTACAAATATATTTACTTTTTTAAAAAAGTTTACAAATTATATACTTTAAAAACATTCAATTGATAGCGTCAGCTTATTATAAAAACTTAAGGTGAAAAGAACCACTAAGAAGAAGAATAAAACCCCAGTATCTTGCGCTGTATGAAGTAAAGCGACCTGTGGACTTTGTTCCGGTGTATTTCCTGTGTTGTAGAGCTGTAGTAACCAATAAAAAAATACCCGACCAAGTACGACAGCAATTTCAAGGTAAATGTTCCAGAACAGCAGGAACAATCTTTGGGGCAGCGAAGTATAGGCGGCCAGAAAACGTTGAGTAAGGTCATTGTCGCCTCATTCCTTTATTTCAACTTTTAACATGAACATAACGTACCTTATAACAGAAGAAAAAGTTACAAGCGTGAGGAGGTCTTTCTGGCCATTTGGCTGGTTTGTTTTGTCATTCAAGAGAAGATTTCAACAAAGTCGTTTCTTCCAACACTTTAGGGTGTCATCTTCAACAACATGACTGGGTAGTTTGTTCCTGAATGCAACAACGTTTGATGATTTTATATCAGCGTGAGAGATTTGTGAGATATTTAAGTACTAGCTTTTTGCTGTATATTTAAAATGGATGATTGCATTCTTGGCACTTCAAGTTTATATGCACAATAGCATCTCTCATATACTGTGTGCTATCAATGCATATTTTCGCATGATTCTACAGTGCAATAGCTTAAAATAAGCCTTAGCATCAATTTTAAACTTTAATTTCAAGTATTGTTAAATCATTTGTAAAGATAAGTTTTAAACCACTGATTTAGGAATGCATTATTACTGTTTTGGATAAAAATGCCTTAGAATTCAAACGCCTTGCTTGTTAAAGCGTTTGTTTTTTTGTCACCGGATTAAACGCTACTGAGTTGCACGTATTTCTGAATTTTGAGCTGTATAAAGGGAGTGATCCTATCATTAGCACCGCCTTGGTGCTGCCTTCTCGGGGCGTGGAATCGGACAGGGGTGTGTTCTGCGTGGTCACGTGTGTAAACAATGTCACGCTGCCAGTAGCCATGTGTTTGGGGTGAACTCTGGGGCATTTAACAAGCACCGACTTCTGAAAGACTCGGTTGTTTTGCTTTCGCAGAATATTTGTGGTTAGCACACCATTACAAACTTATTCAGAGTAATTGTGTTTTTACAAAAAGTGAAAATTGGCGTTCTGATTAACATATGTAAGGTATTACAGCAAATGCAATGGTTTTCTAAAAACCAAAACCCATATGTATGTACAGTATATTTAAAATTGTAGTTGATGTGTTTAGCGCACAATGCAACCAGGCTTCTGCTGATGCATTTGTATAGTATTATTACGTGTAAATACAACTGATAATAGGCATGCATTCCAGAAATTTAGATTGCATACAAGGTGATAACAGTTTATGTGCTGATGGGATTAATCACTTTAATATAATCACCAGCATGATTTAATCTCCCAGAATAAAAATGTCATACCCATAATTAATTGTGGGTTTAGAATTAAGTGTAGGGAAAGTTTCATTTAGATTTTTGTATAAAATGGTTTCTAATCCAACAATTTCTTACTTTATCAACAATTCAACACTTGGTATATAGCTCTTTTATTTATTTTGGGGTTATTGTTTCAATAATTATTGTTTGATTGCTTTAGTTTAAACAGTTTTATGGAAGTTAGTTAAAAGATGTTGAAAGGATGAAATTGGTAGAATGTGGGTGTCCCACAGTAAGGGAAAATGTTAATATCTGGAAAAAAAACTTTATCTAGATGTCTAACTAAAATTCTGAAATACAATTTTTCATTGCATCTTCATGTCAGTATATTTTTATTTTGTACTAAGCCACATTACACACTGCTATTGTCATCAAATATGCATTTGTTGTATTTTTCAGAGCAAAATATCTTCTTGAAGACATCAGCGAAGACAAAGCAAATTTACCTGTACTGTATTTTGTTGAAATTCACTAGTTGGAATTTGAGGCTTTCACACCAACCCTCCTGTACCACAGCTGGGAGATCGAAGAAAACACCCACTTAAGAACAAAAGAGTCAGTCTAGATACATAAAATGTAGGAGCTTCTTCCACAGAGGAACATTTTAATATTTTTAGGAGCCATGCAACACATATCGAAGAACAAAAATGAAATTATGGTATCAGTTTTTGATTATTGATTAGTTGAAAATGAAATACGGAATGCATATTGCATGTTAGGTTTAATTTCACATTGTGGTTACTATTGTCCCTGTCCAAGTTGGTATTAATGTACATCAGTAAAGGAAACTAAAATCCTTTATAGTTTAGATGTAACACTAGATTATATTTACCATAACACTATGAGAATCATGGCTTGAGATGTTGATCAAATTAGAACTACATTGCTCTTGAGCAATCTGTATCTCAATCGCTGTCAACTTTTATTAATGCATTTTGCAGGTGTTTTTATCCAAATAACTTACATTTATACAGCTAAATCACTGATGAAGCAATCTGAATTAAATAACTAATTCAAAGGTATAACAGCAGTGCAACACATTAACTTTGAGCCCAGTACTTTCCTGTTGCAAGGACAGAACCCTGAACACACCACACTGCTGCCTTAGCAGTTACTGAGATTACTAAAAATGCACATATTTAAGTTACTTTAGAACATAAGCATGTATATTAGTAATATATGCAACTACCCATAATTCAAGTGATCGAAATGGACTTCAATTATGCTCTTAACAAATAGAAAAAATGAGAAACGAGGCACTCTTGCTGCAATTCACATTTTTTAATAGTCAAAGCCTGAATATATTTCAGATTTATAATCATGTGGAAAAACTGAAACCAACTAACAGCTATTAAGATAGGAAATCGCACCACAGTATAAAATGGCTATTTCAGAATTTTGTAGCTGACTCTTTTGTCTGGCCATATTCAGGTGATTTGCATAGCAGTTGTTGGGTCTTCATTTGATCAGGTGTAGCTAATGGTGGCTGGTTGTGCTCCAGCCCAATGGGCACCTGCTGCTGCCAGCACAGTCTGCGCAGAGAACAAAGGAGCTATTGAACACACAACAGCTGTCATGCTGCTGCTGCCTGACTGGGGCCTCACAGCTCCAGGAGCAGGGCTGACGGGGGAGCCTCCTCACACTGATAGGCGAATAGGCTGCTTAAAAGACATTGTGCTGCATAATTTCAGCATTGAATTAAATAGAGTGATGTGGAAAGACTTTAAACCCATAATATATATTATCAGCAACAACATTAAGCACTGTAATATTCCGGTATATAAATATATGATTTACTTTAAAAGTTTGGTTATCACTCACATTATTTTCAGGTATTGTGGTACTCTTGACACATACAGAAAAATTAATTGTAATTAAATATGCGATTTGACAATAACTGCTCATCATATTGTAATCATGAAACCTTCACCATCTAAGTAGCTCTGTCATGAATTTCTGGAATATTGCAAAATGAAAAACCTTAAAATCCTCAAACTTCCTTTATTCCTTACAAGGCTATGCAGTATTTGAAATATTGAGAAATGGAAGAAATCAATTAAAATATTCATTTGAAAAACACCTTAGATGACGGCTGATGGCAGCTTGTAAACAGCAGAATTTCAGCGACAAAATGTAGGAGCTAGCCAAATTATGAAACGGCTGTGTTAGCCAAAGTTTAATGTAATGAATTACCCTTGTCTCAGCAGCATCTGTTAAGGAAATCATACTTACTTGCATGCCGGGAGCCTTATAAATATGCACATCTTTAAGCCACGCAACTGGTGACATCTAGTGGATCACTGTAATGTTTGTGCTATCCGAGAACCTACAGCATCCAGAGGGCACTGTGTTATAGACAGCCATTATAGAGGAGAAAATACACCATTTTAATTCCCCTCACAGGTCATATTTTAAAGCTTTTTTGTACTTCCCTGTATTTTTATATCAAATTAGATTTTCATTAAGGAAATATACTTTAATTATCTAGATATCTTTGTGCATCTTCAAGAAGCTTGAAATAAAGACTTTATGAAATGTACAGGGCCACTTTAGTTGTGGAACAGGCAAAGGTTAATTCCCTTTCAAAGTATGAAAGAAAGTAAATTATCCAGTTAGGCTAGGGAGCTGAGGAAGGCTCTACTTTTGCTTTTTCAGAATAGCTCGAACTTCATTTATTGCAGCCCAAACTTTGGCATAGCTCCCCATACAACCTCTGCTTTAAAATAAATAAAAAAATCAAATATTTTTCTTGGTCTGTAGTGATGCCACTTTCTACATCAGAACTATTTTCTCTTAAAACCAGAAATTAAAATACTCTGGTAGAGGTACCTGCCCCTTCCACAGAAGCTCATGTTTTGTACATATCCAGTTATATAAAAAAAAAAAAGCCAACACTAGTGGGAATCCACTGAAAAGCTGTCTCAAGAGGGCTTCAGGATGACAACACTGACCAAGGAAAATAAAAGGGCTGAAGGGAATGCAGAGTACTCTACATTCAAGATGACAAGACTACCATGCCATTGTTAGAAAGTGCAAGAGCATTATCAGTGGGAGGCCAGTACATGAAACCTTCCCCTTCCTTATCAATCTTCAGCTACCAGCCCCAGTGAGCTGGGGAGGCGAGAGAGAGAGTGCAGTGCCTTCACTGTGTAATGAAGATAACCGTATTCATGCAGTGCAAAACCCTGACCTTCTCCATTCCCATATTTGCAATAAATTTAAAACATTTTGGCATTGAAGTCATAAAGTCTAGAAGATGAGAAATACAGGAGTGTCACAATGAACAAATCAAATTCAAAGAGTTCACAATATAAAACTGTCTGAGACAGCACCTTTATTTAAAAGTGATATACAAGGTAGCAGCATTTCATTGTTAAAAAAAATTTGGTAAACCGATACTCTGAAAAATTACAAATAAGAGGCATAATACCTTACAATTTCAATGCATTTTGCTTATCAAGCTGGTTTTTCCTCTGGTCCCCTGAATGGCACATTTGGTCCCAAAGGACCCAATCAAGCAGTGAAAAACAGTATGGGCCATGCAAAAAAAGTCTGTCAAAATCACCGAACGGTCCAAGTCCCACCTTCTCTAGCAGCAATCAGAGCAAGAAGTGTAGCTCTAAATATTTGTCAGGTGGTTAACCTGGTACCACGTCCATTAAAATGCCGATTTTAAAAATTCCACTTGAGACTAAAAAGGGCCTTTTTAACTTCACACACAAACCTGTGCCCATGCTCAAGCAGACATTAAAATGAGTTTTTCAGTAATGCCTGAAATCATTACATCTCTCCAGGAACATTGCTCAGTGAATTTATCTTCCTCATTCATCAACTCAAGATCCTTGATGACTCAGGATTCAGAAACCCCCGTCTTCTCACTGCTTGGAGGTGGGGTAAGAACACTCAAAGGCACTGGAGACCGCTGGTTCTGATCCAAACCCATAGCCTCGTAAGCATACGCTTTCTCCTGAAAATGAGAAAGGTAAAACCCAAGTAAGTGGGCCGTCTAAAAGCAGATAATCCAATGGTGGGTTTTAGCAATGACTGGTCTGAAGATTTGTAGGTCTGCAACTATTAGTATGTATCTGTGAAAATATTTCTGTGGGAGCTTACCAGCCACTCCAGCAAAGCAGCATGTGTCTGGATGTTGTGCAGGTCATCTGCTGCTATTCCTTTGAACTTCTTCAGTTCCGAGCTGCCCACTTCCCTAATGGACATAGCAAAGGGAACCATCCACTTCACACACGGCTCGAGGTCTTGCAACTGGTAACCTGCAAGGAAAAAAGAATGTCATTAACCAATAAGCCACCCATTTTTAATAAGCACTTAGTCCCAATGCATGGCTGTGATGAGCCTAACCCAGCAGACAAAGGTTGTGAGGCAAGATATACCCAAGACAGAATGGCAGTCTTTGACAGAGCTCAAATAAGCCATGTGGAGCTGTGCTCTGTCCCTGCCAGAATTAGAACATTGTCTTTCACAAGCTCTGAACACACACCGTCCCACAACCTAGACAGTGATGAACTATTACACCAAAAGACAAGATGTTCCCTGATAGGAGAATTCTAATCTAATTTTCATTAAACGGATGTTACATCTGTAAATGCTTAGTGCACCATTACATATATGTACAGAACCTTGACATCATTGTAGCAGGAAAGCAGAGCAAAAACCACATAGCCAGAGAGATAATTTGCAAATCTCCACGCCAGAATAAGACCCAGAACCCAAAAGGTGTGGTAGTAAATACTCTGGCCTCCCACCACAGTGCTACACTGTGAGCACATTTATTCAGCAAATTAATTCAGTTTCTGTACCTGAAACCTTCTGCACTAGTTCAACTGAAGAGAAGTGAAACAAGGCAGATGCAGCCAGCACCCCATACGAGAACTCCAGGCATCGGACATCCAGTGCACACAGGTCCAACAGCTAAAAAAAACCAAGGGAAAATCTTGGCAAAAGAAATCAAGGCAAAATTTTACTGCATTTACTTTGGGTGTGAAAATAATTCATCTGATGTTAAAGCTGGAAACAAATTCCATTAATTCTATCTCAGCCAGTGGCAGGTGACGAGGTACATTCCGGTAGGTCCCAATATTATATTAAATCCTCCAAGAGACCAACAAATCAAGCATGAAGAAGTCTACTGGTTCGTTTTCACCAGCCCCGAGGCCACAAGTGGAAACGAGTTTACAACCAAGAGCAAGAGGCACAAAGGCCTGTGGAAGTGTTGAAAAAGCTACCCATCTGCATTGTTGCGGCCGATACCATAGCTTCTTTCAAGAAACGGCTGGATGAAATCCTTGAATTAACTCTCAAACAGTCTATGTGTGCTGAATGACCACCTCTCATTTGGATCCTTTCAAATTTATGGTAACAAATTTGAATCACAAAAGATGAATCCTTCTCCTGGGCACCCAACATGAGCACAGGGAGTACTGCCCATGCTAATGTCATTGATGTACCTGTATTACAGTTCTCCCTTAATGGACAGTTAACAGAGAAAGGCATCATATACTCATGATCACGTGGGAAAAAGTATTTTATGAACCTCAGACCTCCTCTTTGTAAAAGGGTGCAAATGTTGCTTTAAAACCAAGAACTAGATTATGAAAATAGAGCAAAGCAGCAATGACCCCCCCACTCCCATACTAGAAAGTGAGGAGGATTTTTCATACCTATATTTAAAATCTTACCTCTGCAATTTGTACAAATGTTGTTTGGGGATATTGTGGAATTAACATCTCGCTGCTTTCCTTTAAATATGCTACTTGCATATATATGTTGAGCCAGGACATGGCTGTCAAAGGGCTCAAACTCCACTTCAGCTCCTGAAAAACGAAGGACCAGTCAGTGTGAGAACAAACTACATTTCAAATATTCTTTGGAAAAAAAAGGCAATGCAAAAAGTGACTATTCAAGAGGATAGCATTAATCTAAAAGTGTTAATTTTTGCTTATTTTCCTCCTCTCAAGGAAAGAAAAGGGCTCTAGAGTGGCTTTATCAGAACACAAAAGATGAATGGCCCCCAACAGGTGGGCACGTCGGAAAAGAATATCTGCAGGCCCTAATTCTCCACGCGCACGCAGGACAGGTGCTGCCAGAAAAACTGGGACTTGCTATCATTTTAAATTGAGTGGCTGTTTATTAAATATGCAATAAATTCTTACAGCTCAAGTACCTTCATTATAATCAGCTCCATATCCAGAATTTCATCCTCTGTACAAGCGCCATCAGTAACGTAGGCAAACTGGTGCAGTTTAGGAGGGTAGATTTCCTACAGGGAAAGTTGGGGAAAAAAAAAATCACATGCCTTTCGTAACCACTGAAGATCATTAGACGTCACCATGAGAAGGAAGTGTGAAGACAGAAATAGATGTACAAGAGCACAAACTACAAAATGCCAACATAAAAAATTACCTCCAGCTTTGCAGCAATAAACAGTGAGGAAATGCCAATAAGTTGCAGTCTTGTTTTTACAACGTTCATTTGTGTTGCCATAAAACGGTCAAAGAAGTCTTGTGCCAAGTAAAAGGTCTCTCTGTGTAGCTTGTATACCTCACATACCTGTAGAATGAGGGAAGACAAAAGTTAAATACCTCTATTTTCACTTAGGCTTAGTTAAGAACTCAAAAGCCCAATTCACATTTATCCTTTGTATGATCTCGCATCAACTGTTTTAAAAAAAGCTAGTCAATCTAAGGGCTAGGTAAGGTCCAGAACTATAATCACATCACGATACCTGATAATAGTAATCTCTGAAGACAAAACACGTTTCACCTCATTACTCCCCACCCAAATTAATAGGCAGCCACAATTATGGTTCTGGACTTGTAACTGGATGGTTTTGGGTTTAAATACCAGGTGAGAAACTGCAGTTGTAACACTGAGCAAGGCATGTCACCTCTATTACTTCAGTAAAACATGCAGCTGTATGAACAAATGCAAGTGCAGGCACTTTGGATATTCAACGCAAGGACTTTAAAATCTAGAGAAAAATCAATTTATTCACCTCCATTAGCCAATCAAGAAGTATGGCTCTCATTTTTGGTTGCAAGTGTGGATGCCTCTCCATAAAGCGATTGTCACGCACATATACTTTGTCTTTCTGTAGAAGGTTATTCCAAACATCATCTTTGTTAGCCCAGCTGAATAGAAAAAAAAAATAAGAATTGTCCAATTACTCCACACAAAAAATATTTACAAACTACACAAAAAAGAACTACAGGATGGAGACGCACCAGAGGACAGGGAGAGGGGAGGATCTTGTAGGAGTGATGAAGATATTTTTAAACATATATTGTGCACAGCCGACATCATTCAATGCAACTGGTTCATCTACTTCTTTGTCAGGTGTGCAAATCAGCCTGCATGGACTTGTGCAACCTGTGGCAGGATTCCAACTAGTCTGAGGAGAGAAAAGAAAAAAAGGCAGATCAATAAGTGAAAAAAAGAATACAATACTCAAATAAACCCCCTTTAGCCTGCTGTTTCTTTTAACTAAGCAAGAAAAAATGCCAACTTCACACAGCTCTCATCCGACATTGACAAGGAATGGAGGGAACCTATTTTTTAGCATCTCCTTTGAATCATTTCATAAATATTTTAGCTTTGCCACCAGAGCACACATTTATCTTTAGGACTTATGCATGTTCTTTTTGGAGGGGGGACATGGGAGAGAAGAGCTGAATGAATATCAGAATTAATACTAACCACCTCTGGAAAAAAAGAGTACATTTCACAATGCAGCACTTATTAAAAGTGCAATAAAGAACACCCTTGAAATGATTTCACCTTGGGATTATATCAAAAAGGGCTATAAAGAACTAAAACTTTTAAGACAAACTTTTTTTTTAAAAAAAAAGACTACATTTTGAAACAAATCAGGAAAAATAATGTATGCTAGCCTGGGCCCAATACCAATGTACCCAACACATAAAATGACTATGCATACAGTACCTGGGTGTCATACTGTTTCTTGTTTGTCATTTCGATGACCTCTTCATCTGGATCCTGCAAATGCTGATAAATAAAAAAAACCAAGCTTAGATAAGTCTTAACATCACTAAATGAAACGCAGGGATCTCTGGGTGCAGTTCCACTTACAATTGCAACGTCTGCCTTCCTTTTCCTGGAACGCGTTGTGCTCCTCTCTTTGGTTACTTCATCGTTTGCCTCCGTCTGCAGCCCGGTCTTCAGGCTGAAAAATAATTAAAATAATATTTCTATACCAATGCATTACATTTTAATCCATATCGACTGTTGGAACACACTGCTCCCTATATCATTAGGACATAGACGTTTTAATCGTTGTATAATAATGCCCAAAACAAATAAAATCTTACTTTTTTCTTGGCATGATATCCTTTGGGGAATTCCTTAAGCCGAGAATGCCACTCTGAAAAGACAAAATTGGTTAAAACTGAATATAAAATGTTCTGAAACTTACTCCCAACCCCCCACAAAACCTCATTCACAAAAGCTCAGACGCCAAGTTTCTTTAGCGCGGGGAATGGAAGAGGGGCACAACGTTTAGGTAACAAGAACAATTCGATTTAACTACGCAATGGTTACATTTTTACACACATCGAAAGCTGAAAAATCATATTTTGAATCCTGAAAGATCGGATGGCTTACAGTAATTATAAAAAGTATAAAAATACTCTTGATTCCGTGGTCGCTTGGCTCAACCAGACATAAAATGGCCGAGCTATTTAGGAAATCCCTCGTTTTTAAAAACGCGCTCTCTATCCTTTTTTTAACAAGCTACACCCAATTTTCACCGCTTTATGTACAATATACAACCTCAAGCTTCGGAACATCCACTTTAGATCAGCTGTTATGAAAAATACAACTTCTAAAAACAAACTTTAAAAACTCTGTACCGGTGCTATCGACTTCCCATGATTCAGTTCTTACCTTAAAGATGCCCCCTTCTTAATATGGGTATTTAAAGTAAAATAATGGGGGGAAAAGAATCCAACTATTGCTCTCAGTTCATTGAGAAACGCTAATCATTTTTCGTGGCGTTTCATCGAAGTGGTTTAATTCTGGCCCTTTGTTTTTAGGCTACCCGCTTCAGACGTGTTCCTCTTGGGTAGCTGCCTGTCCTGAGCTGGCGCGATGCGTTTTGCGCCTGAGCTTATAAGCTGCTGCTCTCGCCAGTCTGCCGGGAGAAGGGGGTGGCTGAGCGGGTCATTTAAAAACCTGGCGCGCAACGCCGACCCCGCCACCTGGCACAGGCTGTACCCTCGTCCGCCGCGGTCCGGCTCTCTGACGTCGAGCCGCCAAAAAATACTCAAGCCCCGAACCCCAACAATTTATTAGGCGAGCTGCGTTTATTTTTATGATTTATTTCGCCGGCAAAAATGAAAAGGGGGCGGGATGGCGGGGGAGGAGGCGGGGACCGCTCCGGGCGGGGTGGAGTCCCGATGCGGAACTGCGGGAAAGCGCCGCATGGCTCGGCGCGGCAAGATGTAAACAAATCGAGCCAGCTTCGAAAATACACGGAGGTCTGTGGAGCTGGATGCGGGGTGTGATCTGTTTCGGGCCCCCCTGTCGTCTTTGTTCGATCGTCCGGGTTGTCATGACGGAGAGAGGGAGAATTAGGCCAAAAACTGGGGGGAGTCTTGTGTGCCGCGCAGTGGGTGCAAGCCAAGTGACGATGGATTAGGTGGCGCCCTTACTGTATTTGACCGCTCGATAAAACAACACTACTGTATAGCCAAAAGTTTATAATAGGTTTCAAAAATTGTTTTATAAAGGGGTGTATTTTGCATGCTATCGTGTAGTTTGTATTTTTATTTATTCGTTTTTGCACGCTAATATTGCACTGCACTTAATTTGAATAAAATACGAGGCGCATAAACTTTGACCCGTCACGTGACAGAAAACAAAGTTTGACCAAAAATAAGTCAAACATGAAGTTTTTAAATCTTTTTGGACGCTTAAAATCCATTGTCATCGGCATGGTTCACGTAAAGGCTCTACCAGGTTAAAACTGTAACTTGTTTTTTTTTTTTGCATCAGGTGTAGATATTTAAAATGTAAGGAGACTGATTTGTGGTATCGTGTAACTTGATTTTTCAGGTACTCCGCTGAACAATCTTGCAGTTGCTGAAATAACAGAAGCAGCATGTCGTGAAGCAGAGCTGTACAGCGATGCAGGCATTGTAAGAATCGTTATATAAGATTTACTTTGGTCGCTTTATCTGTCGAGATTGTTTGGTATAGTGGAGGCTGCGATTGGGGGTACATTTGAGTACAATGCAGTGACTGCAGAGTTAGTCCTACACTAATTCAATCGCAGTTAGATATTGCAGTTAGATTACCAACAAGTTGTTCTAGTTCCTTCTGAAAGATTGACTCCTTGTGTAGGATGACAAAGTGGAGTTTAAAACTGCTCAAATGCAATTTATTTTTATTCGGTGCTTTAGCAGGGTGACGAGAGTTTTCTCTCCAAACAAGAGCTTTAATGGGCACAGTGTTGCATACTGTGGATACGGTTTATAATTACGAGACAAAGGCCCTAACTAGGCCATAGCATTTAAATAACAATGACAGTGAAATTGTGCATTTCACAGGATGGACTCATTATTGAAAACATGCATGATCTTCCCTATACAACAACTGCTGGACCAGAGGTCTATGCTACTATGACAGCAGTCTGTACTGCAGTGAGGCAGACATGTCCAACCCTTCCCATTGGAGCCCAGATCCTAACTGCAGCTAACCGGGAAGCTTTAGCAGTAGCTCTGGCATCAGGTAATGTTATTTAACTGCTTAATGTTTTTTACCTTGCATGAGACTTGAGGGAATTTTCAGGTGTGGACTGCAACGCTGGAAATTCTTGATATAATGTAATCTTACTGTTGTTTTTTGCAAACTAAATATGAGTAGCTTACACTTTAGTGAACTGTTGCTGATTACACAACTTTAGTGTTATTTTAAATAGTGTCTACAAAGAAATAACATCCGAGTGAGTGTTTCTTTTTTTCTTCTTGATAAGGCCTTGATTTCATACGCGCAGAAGGATTTGTCTTCTCACATGTAGCAGATGAAGGACTTTTAAACGCATGTGCTGGTGACCTGTTAAGGTACCGCAAACAAATAGGAGCTGAGCACATCCAAATTTTCACTGATATAAAGAAAAAACACAGGTAAGATAACTGTCCACTGACTGCACAAAGCGTTTTACTCATGACCTCATAGTTATAGAAAAGTATTCAGTTGTGTTACACTTCCAATTTAAATAGTACTACTGTGAATGCCCCAAGATGCACTATGCTTGTTCAGTGAAAAAAACAGTTTTCTTCAAGGGTACTTTGCTGTGTAGTAATTCTTATAATGTTAAAAATAAATACTTAGGGCAGCATGGTACAGTGGTTTGCATTGTTGCTTCTCAGTGCTGGTGCCCTGGGTTCAATTCTGGACCTGGGCTGCTATCTGTGTGGATTTTTGTCATGTTCCTCCCCTGTTTGTGTGGGTTTTCTCCTGGTGTCACAGTTGACTCCCTTAGTCTAGAATCATACTAGAAGGTAAACTGGCTTCTTAGGAATTTGGCCTTGTTGTCAGTGTGTGTGTTTGTGCCTGTTTGCCCTGTAATGGACTGGCAACCCAACCAGGGTGGGGCGTTTCCCGTCTTGCACCCCTTGCATGCTGGGATAGGCTCTGGCATCCCTGTGACCCAGCATTGGATGAAAACAGTTAGATAATGTATGGATGGATGGATAAATACTTATGTAGACATAAGAGGTGCCAAATTTAGAAGTTGTAGCAACTCATATGTTATTAAATAGTATAATTTAATTTCAGCTCTCATGCCCTGACGTCTGATGTCAGTGTGGCTGAAACGGCCAAAGCTGCTGAGTTCTTCCTCTCTGATGGCGTCATCCTGACTGGAACAGCCACAGGTATACAAGCCGACCCTGAAGACCTCAGAGGTGAGTCCTGCTCAAAAGTTATCCCAAGTGGCAGGGCCTCCTGAAGCCCATTCCTTGATTTGATATGATCAATAGACTTCTGACAGCCACAATAAGTGTCGTGGGTTGAATGTTGTCTTCTGTTAATCTTATGTTTTGTTTGTTATGCTCGTATCGCAGCTCAGTGGTAGGCTGCTATGCCTTCGATCTGCCTTGATCGCCGTAGAGAGACTGATGCAGAGCAGGAATACCTGCTTCAGTGAGAGGTAAACTGCAGCAGGTAATTAAACTGTATTCAGTCTCTCCTCTGCGATTCGCCATTGACGTTTATACCTCACTTTTAAACCACCGTTCCAGTTTCCCAACGGAGCCCTTCCTATTCCTTCTTCCCAGTTTCCTCAGGCTCTGCCTGAGCTCCGTCTTTTGCCCACGGCTGTGCTGCCTGGAGCACTGGAACTGGGGGTTGAGTCTTTAGTAGGGACCCGACCTTAGCATATGTCTCTGCTGGCCCAGTCCAGATGGCACCTGGGAAACTGGTCCCGTCCACTTCCGGGCTCTTCCCCAGATGACAGTTTGCCAGGAAACTCTGCCTGGCCTGGTGTTTGGAGGAGATCCCCCCCCTTTTTAAGGGCGTGTGTCCCCTGAATCAGCCCGTCTCCTGGAGAGCCCTCCGACTGGATCACCCTGGTTTGGAGTTTCCTGTCCTGCCTTGGAAGGTCAGACTTCCCCGCCCTGTGAAGCCCTCCTGGGCGAGAGAGAGCGACACCTCGACGGTGCCTGCTGCAGGATCTAAGTGGACAGTTTGCTCATTTTCTGCGCCCGAAGTGGAGTGAGCCAGCCACTCGCCCTGGACTTTTGCACTCAGGCTCTTGGGTCTGTAACATCAGCAATGTCACCCCATTTCCTGGAGTGGCAGTGCTGACCATAATGTTGTCATGGAATTCATACATTCCTTCATTTAACTTTGTCCCATTCAGTTTGGGGAAAAGTCCTCTCAGAAGATGAGGTGTCAGTTTACTAACAACTAGTCAGTGATGTGAAAAAGAAAGTACACCCTCTTAAGATTCTATGGTTTAACATATTCAGACATATCTGACCTTCACCTAGACCTCACCAAGTCCTAACAGTAGATCAATCTAATGTCATATGACAGATAACTTGTGGAAAACGTACGTGCACCTTTACTGCTTCCATGCCAGTTAAGGAGATAATTAAAATAAGGTGCTACTAAACAAGTACACATGATTAGCTTATCACCAGAAAGCACTTCCTCCGTATATAAAGTCAGAAACTTTATTATTTTTTTAAACAAAAGTTTAATCTGGAGCATTCAGGTTTGTGGTAGCATATAATGCCTGGGTCAAAAGATATCTGTGATGGCCTCAGAGAGAGAATTGTTGCTGTTTATCAGTCTGGGAAGGGTTATAAAGCCATTTCCAAACAATATGAAGTCCACCATTCCTCAGTGAGAACAATAATTTACAAATGGAGAAAGTTTAAGACTGTTGTCCAGGAGTGGGTGTCCCAGTAAATTCACACCAAGATCAGACCACATGAGGCTCCTAGAAATCAGAAAGAACCCCAAAGCTACATCCAGGGAACAACTGGCCTCTCAATACGGTAAACATTAGAGTTTATGATTCTACCTTTAGGAAAATGTAGAACAAGAACGGATTTCATGGAAGGATAGCCAGGAGAAAGCCCCTTCTATCTAAAAAAGAACACTGCTGATGGCTTATGTTTGCAAAACAGCACCTGAATGAACTATAAGACTTCTGGAACAATGTCCTCTAGACAGACATAACCCAAGTGGAGTTTGGCCGTAATGCAAAATGACGTTTGGCGAAAACCAAACACTACGTATCACCACAAGAACCTCATACCCACAGTCAAGCATGGTGATGATCTGGGCCTGCTTTGCAGCTGTAGGTCCTGGACACCTCACAGTCATTGAGTCCACCATGAATTCCTCTCTATACCAGCGCATTCTAGAGGACAATGTAAGACCATCTATCCAACAGCTTATGCTTATCCAAAAGTGGACTATGCAACAGGACAATGATCTAAAATGCACCAGTAAATCTTTTACTGAAAATGAAAAGAATCAGGACCTCAACCTCATTGAGATGCTGTGGCGGGACTTAAAGAGAGCTGTGCATAAACACATGCCCTCCAACATCACCGATCTGAAGCAGTTTTGTAAGGAGGAGTGCACCATAATTTATTTCAGTTGATGTGAGAGACGGATAAACTCTTACAGGAAACATTTACTTCAAGTAATTGTTGTTAAAGGTGGTTCCATACATTAATGAATCACATGGTGTACAAACCTTTTCACACATGGCTACTGAATGTTGGCTGATTGTTTTGTTTAATAAATAATGACAAAATCAAATTTCTGTTATCTGTCACATGGGGTTAGATTTATCTACTTTCAGGACTTTGTGAGGACTAGGTGAAAGTCAGTTATGTCTTAATATATAAAGAGAACTGTAAGGGGGTGTACTTTTTTTTTCCACATCACTGCGTGAGTAACCGAACATATTTCATAACTAGCAGCTATAAATAAAATACAAGAAAAACAGAAAATGGATCTTCTTAGTATCTCCATTGCTAAATATTGTAAAGTACAGCTTCATTTATTTGTAATAATAAATAGTCAAATACAATTGGTATAATGAGTTTGTTCACACTTCTTGCAGCAGGCTATGGGAAAAGGTCACAAAGTATATTTTATCTGCCTTTGTATTTACCATTATTTATTATGTATGCTTCTCATTACATGTACACAGACTGGCTCCCTTTTTAGACATAGATGGATTAAAAATCTTATATAATATTGGTAAGAATTGACAGATCAATTTACATGAATTGATCTTTGTTAGTGCTATGCAAAGGAAAGCCTTTTTTGTCTGCTTCATGGAGGATTTCCTAGTCTGTTTTATTATTGTGATCAGGTTTGCCCTGGTTCAGAGGTTAAATCATATTAAATGCTACTGGTGCCTGTGAGATCTGTACGCCTTATAAAGAGCAGGGCCGCCTGGGAACGAATGCATTCCAGTCTCCTGAATGATATCTCTTGTGAAGGGCATGCATTCTGTCTGACATAAGCTTGCTTTACTAATATAGCCACCACCTTTTGGTCTATTTTTAAATAACGTTCCAGATGGCTGATTTGTGCTGAAGGTGGTAAACACAACATGACCGACCCAGACTGCCACATTATCCTTCGTCTTGCTTGGAACTCTGCCTACCTACAGCATGTCTCTGCTGCCGAGCATTTCAGAGGAGACCTCCGTGTGCCAGTTTATTAACGAAAACAAGCACAAATGCTTCTTCATTTGAGTGGCAAGCAGCTGTTTTTGTTATTTCTCTTGTTCATTACAGTATAAATATGATTTTAATATAAACTACACAGTGCCATCTTCCAATTAGTGAGTGTATTCTGAACATATTTTGTATTCTGTACTGTATTTGAATAAACATGTAAGCTGCAGATGGTAAATTGTGGTAACGGTGTTAACAGGGTTAAGGCTATTAAATTTTCAGTTTTCAAAATTGTTTAAGAATTTCCCTTCGATAAATTATCATTTTTTTGTCATGTATTTAAAAGGCCCCATCCAGGTAAAATGTATATCTTAAAATGAGGAGTTTGTACAGGACATGATGAGAAGGCATTAGGCCCATCTTGTCCATTGTACAACCAGTACAAGGTTCTTTCAAGTAAAGGCTGATCCAAGGTACGTATCCAGCCTTTACTTGAAAGAAGCCAGAGTACCAGCTTCAATGGCATGTCTGGATAGCTTTTTCAATACTACCAAAATGCTTTGAGTAAAGAAGTGGCTCCTGTTCTTGATTTTAAATGCAGTTCCACATAGAGTCAGTGTCTTTGAATATTTTAATTACTTGTATCACTTCCCTTGTAATCTTTGCTTTAGACTATGCTCAAGTGTTCAAGACTAAAAATAGCTGTGTACTGGCCATTAATATAGAGAAATTAATACTGCACTGTAAGTGTGGTTTCTGGCACAGGCAATATTCATTTTCACACGTAATGCCAGTTTCATGAGATACATCTCATTGTTGTTTAAGTATAAGTTGTGCAACGGTAGAAGTAAAATTATGGATTTCAGGTGTCCGACACTCAGTAGCAAAATCATTTTTTAAACTGTCAGTCTTCATTCAGAATCCTGCGATTGAAAGACAAGCTTACTCTGAATTGACCACTCTGGCATCCATGAAGCTTGTCTTAATTTACTAGGTTTAAATTCAACCTTTGCTCCTTATTCTGTCTGTCCAAGTGCATTTACTCCAGGCTGTTATATTCAACCTAATAGAACAAGTGGGATAAAACATTTCAGAAACTGGTGAAATTAGTTTAATTAGTTCAAGCCTTTGAAATAAGAAAATTAGAAGTGGAATTGGAAAGTATTGCAATAATAAGATATTTAATTGCAAGATAACACAATAGGCAAATGTAATTGGCCATGAAGTGCTGTATAGATGGAAACAATGCCATTTATTTGTGCTCCAGAGAGATAACAAAGCTACCTCACCCTTTATTTTGCAGAGGTCGGACAAGCAGTAAGAATCCCAGTTCTGATTGGCTCTGGGGTGACCCATGAGAATGTGGAGCACTACCTTGAAGCAAGTGCAATGATCATTGGCTCATACTTTAAGAAAGGAGGATTTTGGGCCAACAGTGTCGATCCAGAAAGGGTCAGGAAATTCATGGGAAAGATGAACAAACTCAGAGTATGAATAATTGAAAAAAATTGATGTTTGAAAGGACACAGTGTTGGCACAGAAATACAGAGTATTTGACTAAAGTGTTTAATAATAAATCACTCACTTGGTCTGAATCTTTCCGTTGGTTCTTAATTAATTTCATAGAAGGGAATGATAACATTCTTCACAATACATTAATCCTAACTTCTCAGTACCTGAATGTATTTAATAATGTTTAAATCTGCATAATCAATCTACATAACATTGTTCATATTAAAGCTTTATGTTGCATTCAAAAATGTTAGACTACAGCAGGTAGTGGATATGCTTCCTTTTTGTTTTCTAGGTAGTGGATCTGTTTTTTTTTCTCAAAGGTTTGTTCAGCTAATGGAGACTGACGTAACATTAAGACATGAATTAACACTTAAATAACCACCCTGAAATTATGACTTTATAACCCACTGCAAATCAAGACATTTTGTAGGATTAACAGTGTTGATAAAAGCTGTGGATACTCCCGATATTAATTATAGATAATGAGACAAAACAGCATTTTCTAAAAATACACAGCATTATGTATTAGACATTTTGCATTTATTCTGCTATTTTAACTCTGATTTTTCCTTCTTTATGCAGAAACAATTCTGTGGTGATTTGCTACTGAAATATGTACCATTTTGTTTTAAATTTACAGTTAATCCTGTTCACTTCCCATTCAGTAGCATACAAGTAGTTTTTTAGCTTTATGAATGTGTAAAGAAACAAACAATGTTTAATATAAGGGTCAACTGAAAATGAATCAATTAGATTTGATTGGCAAATGCGATGGAATTGTTAGAATTCATATTGGCTTGTTATATATAGTTTACCTTTTATAACCAACGTGATCAGGTTTTTGAAGATTCTAATCTCTTTGAATTAAGGATTGTTAAATGACTGTCGTGGTTTATTTTCACTCAAAGTATTATTAATAAGCCAAAGTTGTGAAATTACTAGAAAAGTGATTGTAACGGTTAACTATTTCATCAAAATTGTTTAAGACTTGCACAGTTGTGTAAATAAAATGTTCTTCAATGCATAGCATCTTTAAGAAATTGTGAATCATTCAAAGTGAAAAGGTTATAGAAACTGATATTTATTTTGTATTATTTGAAGTTTCTTTAAAGACAAAGTATGCATAAAAACATATATAAGAAACAAAACTAAAATATAGTCATATTTACACACTGAATTAAGTGGTGATATGTAAGTCTATAAAACACAACACAAAATACATCGGTATGAACAGGTGATTACGATATAGTGGTATGCTCACTAAAATATAAAATGATGAAGGTCATGTCACCTTTTCTGTTGAACTAATACATAATGAGTTTAAAAGGATCTAGTGTTTCTTGTTTAGGCAGAATTACAAAAGCAGGAAACAGTCACACACTAATAAATTTACAGAGATGCAGAAGTCATGGTACTGTACTGCAAAAATTAACCAAGCGCAAAACACTCTTAAAAGGTTCTAAGAAGCATACTTCCTCAGATACACAAAATTGTGTCAATGTTTTTGCAGAGCTATAATTATTTGGATAACTTTTTTCCAGGCAATAACACATTCATATCAAAACGCCAACTTTATATTGTGTATTCAACAGAGGCATTTTTAGTTTTTAAATTTCAAACACTGCAACCTAAGGAAAACGTAACTGAAATCCTTAAAAACTGTAAAATGGCAGAATACGGTCCCAGTGGAAACCTGAGGGGAGTGGTGTAAAATTGCACAGAAAAACATTTGTTCTTTTTGTAACCTGCTACTGTATGAATTACATATATAACAAATATAATCAACTAATATAACAAATGAATAATCAACTAAAGATTTTAATTAATCGAAGTAGAAGGCACTGCATATGTTGTAACGAGTGGATTATGCCAAAATGAATTCTAACATTTCAGCTAAAACCTGCATTTTTTAAACAGCAATTTAGTACAACCTTCTATATTTAAACAAATTGTGCACATAGCTGCCATTGAGCCACTGCTATACACATACTTAATCTAATTAATCTAATTCATTTTCTTGCATTCTGACACATAAAAAGAATTTGAAGCATTTCTAAGACTAATAACCATAATCAAATTGTTTTCAATGTGATGTGTAATAACATTTGGCATGTCATTGATACAATCACTAAGGAGAAAATATAAGTAAATCATTAGGAGGCACAGCTGTAGGGTGCTCAACACAATGTTCATATACGTTTAGGCACCCTAAGGTTTAAACCTTACATGTGAAACCATGTCCAATGCGTCCTATTTATGCTGTCTCTTTTACTTTGACTGAATATAGAGAAAGTACACAGGAAAAAAGGAGTGCAAGGTGTTCCAAGTTATTATTATAAATATTATGCACTTCTTCACCTGTAATAAGAAGCTACTTAAAGAGAAAAATGTCCTTGTAACAAGTTCAGCCAGTTGCAGTGGTCTGCAATAATAAAACCTGTTATACGAGACCTCCTACGATAGGGAAAAGCCATCTTTTTTCATCAGAAGGAATTCCATAAAACAGGTTAAGTGTGCAAACGCAGGGATACTTTCTACATCAAACAGAATATAGTTTTGCTTTTATTTTTAAAAATATACCAATTATAGGACATGAGAAGAGCTAATCAGACTCCAGGCTGAAACCTTCAATAACTGAAGGCAGTTTTACGTCTTAATTAGCTTGTAGCACCTGTGATATACAGTAATTACAGTGGTAACAAAACCGTTTCTGGACTTGAACTACACAGTATGTATAGTATCAATCCAAATAAGATCCAAGAAAGCTACGTACAGACTGCTTTGATACAGTGTATTAAAAGCAATAACATACAGTAGCTTGTGACTTTTGTTTAAAATATATACATATTATCGAAGGAAGATATGTATATACAGTATATCGAACGAGACTGTACCGTTACATCTTTTGAGTTAAATGAAGCGTTCTGCACTTTGTCAGTAATTATAGATGCGCTGGCAGGGTTGTTTGAAGTTGCCATAGTGTTTCTCTTTTGGTGAATAGCGCTTCTTGGCCTGATTCTGCCTGCGGAGATGACTGCGGCCCAGCTTCCTCCTCTGAGCCCACAGTCTGGTTCTCTGGACGTGGCGCAGGTGACTGTTCTTCTCCAGTATATAACCCCATGCCATCAGCCTCCAAGGAATTGAACGTGCCACTTGGGCAGGCCTGCAAGGGTAAACGATACATGCCAAACATGAAGTACATGTGCTGGTACTCAAAACTCTTTCTGTCATGACTCCCTTTAATTTGTCTCTGTAAAGTACAAAAGGGTATACTATCTAACAAATACACTAAAGATAGGTTAAAATGTACCATTACTAATAAATACAACATTAAAGGAAGAAGTAATAGGTTTATTCCATGCTGAAAAAAAGAAGAAAGAAAACACAACTTTTCAGCCATGGAGCCTTCTTCAGGTGTGATTAATATAGTAGTATAGTAGAGCAGTAGTGCTCACACCTGAAGAAGGTCCCACGGCCGAAACATTGTGTTTTCTTTCTTGTTTTTTTCAGCATGGAATAAACCTATTACTTTTCCCTTTGCAGCCTACACATGCTGACGCAGCTACCCACCAGAAATACAACATTAATCCTTCCGTAAACTCAAATTCATTATGCTCACCCATAGTCAAGGCCAGAGTTTGGTTTAATGGCACCAAACCTGAACAGTGGCAGGATTTTAAAGATGTTTCGCACTTCTTCTCATCCTACACATGACACTTTAAAGATGTTAATCACACCTGGGGGCACCTTCATCTTCCTCTTCAGAGCCCGGTTCCTCCTCCTCATTTCTCTGGTTCCTCCAGTTGTACACGGACATGCTGGGATGCTCAATCAGTAGGTTCTCCAGGAGGCCGACCTCTG